GCAAGAAGACAGTGAAAGAATCTGTATACCATTGTGTTTGTGTGTTTATCTGGTTGGTTGATGCTGTAGTGCAGCAGTGTTGAAATTGTCATGCGCCTTTGGATGGTCACATGCATTTTGTATATATACGCCTAGGTTGCAGCAACAGGGAAAATTGGTACTTCTTCCAAGTTTACTGTTTTGTAAACTTTTTTGAATAACACGTGTTTTGGAGAACATATTAAAAGTTGCCATCATTGTAGGAGCTGATTTGGCCTCTGTTGCCTCCAATAAGAGAGGAAACAAACTTGCATGACTTAAGATGGCTGAGGTCCTGCACCAAGATCTTTTGATCCTGCACAGTGTGATTTGGTTGAGCAGGAGGTGGAACTAGAAGGAATGGAGAATTCTATTTCAGAAAGGTTCTGTTATCTTGCAGGTTTAAGACAAAAACAGATGTTAGAAAGGAAAGATGTAGCCATGCTTGTGAAAGTTTCAAGTGATAGAAGGGAATTCTTGTACTATTTATCTATATTCAGATTGGCTTAAACCAAGTACAGATTTATAGCTTTCTAGTTTTACTGTTTTTGATAAACTCAGTGATACCTGCATGCTCAGAATACCTGTGGTCAAAGTTAAAAGTTTACTGGTGTGAGCAGCAGAGAAGGAAAGAGAATATTGGGTTTGGGTCTCATTTGGCTGTTACACAAAGGGATTGCACACAATGCTTCAACCGTCTGAGAAACTTCATGGTATTTTTTTCATCTGCTTTTTGCACTTGTTTCATAGTGGAATGTAAATTTAATAATAAACATGTATAACATGCCATTTTTCAGTATATTGGTCATCTTGTGTGGTTTGTTCCAGATGTCATCTTCTATACTATACTGTTCTATAAGAAACCTAAATTTAGGCCTTTTTTGGCTAAAAGTTAGTAATGGTTGTACTGTAGACAAGCTTATTGAGTTGGTATCTGTACAAATGGTGGCTGTAAAAGCTGAGAAATTGATTTTAAAACTTGATCGGGCTGTGCTGGTCTGTTTGCTATTCTGTTTGTACTTACGCAGTTAGAGGTGACAGATGTGCAGTAAAAGCTGCAGTCTGATTTAGCACTGTAAATGTGCAATGCTTAAATCTAGATCAGAATGCTTAGAGAGTACCCTCTGCTGCAGCTTGAAAAGCATTTTACTTGAGAATGAAAAACTTCACAAGTGAAGAATAGCTCATCTGTCTCTCAGAGTATTTGAATGTGAGCCTCACTTTGAATGTGTTTTCTGGTACTTTGGGGGGTGGAGTTTGTGTGTTGTTTTAGGGTTTTTTCCTCCTGTTATTTTACAGCAGCTAGTATGTTCCTCCAGCATTGTAGCATTTTCTAACAACACTGCTGTTTTTACATTTCAGTAGCAGATGTCAGCCCTCTGTATTTGTGACAAAATGGGAGCAGAGACTGAAACGAAGCTACTTACCCTTGAAGGGAACTCCCTTTGTGTAGGTCTCACTGAAGTTCCCTTGGCATGGAGATGCCAAATTCTTGCCAGTCATGTCAGCCTGGGGCTGTGCACACCATCTTCAGCACCAGCACCTGCCCTCACATTTGAGGCTGGAAAGTTATGATCGTTTTCCCAAAACACTCACTTCCCTCAGTGCTACAGCGTGGGAACAGCATTGATTTGCAGTTAACAGTTTTTTACTAGAATTAGTCAAACAGTTACTGACAGTTCCTCTTGTAGTCTGTCTGCATGACCTCTGAAAGAAGCAGGAACCACCACTATCCTGTGGTAAGTAACCTGTATTTATTTAGGTTGCTTATTTTTCTGCCATAAGAAGGGCTTGCATTCTTGTCAGACTGAAGTTGACTTTTCAGCTCAACTTTTCATATGCTGAACTTTAAGTGCACATTTTGAGAAGACATTTGCTTCTCACTGTTCTTTGTAATTGCTATCCCTATAAATGGTTAGGTAGGAAGGAGCTGTAAGCTGGAACACCAGTATCTGGGTTGCAAGAGACACTGACCAAGTTTCCTTCTCTAGCAAACAGGTAACTTACCCTGTTTCCTAATATTCATTGTATTTATGCACACCAGTACTTAACATGTTTGGATTTGTAGTTGCATGTCCTCAGAACAAAGGCCTGTGTTACCAGGTTAACTAACTAATGACATTACAGAAATGTGTCCCACAGTGGAGAAGCAACAGGGCCATGAGCAGCTAAGTGGCACCAGAGGAACGTTAGCTAGTGGTAGAGTTGGGATTTCTGGCTATGTGCTCACTCTGCATCAAAGCTGTTCATGGTCCATATAAGAAAATTAATGACAGTATACAAGTTCCTGTTGAACTCAAGAGATTTCAGCTTTCCTGAAAGACCTGAGCCAGAATACAGCTGGCTGCTGCTATGTAAGAGTGTATGTGCTGTGTAAGAGTTGGGGGAGGTGCTTTTTTTTTTCCACTTGTTCTCTAGCACTTCGGATGTAGTGAGGGAAGAGAGCTGTAACCCCTCTGAAGCTGCAAGAAGGGCTAGAACTAACCACAAAAGCTCAGGCATGCCTGAGAAAAGTGCAAGGAAGAGCTTCCTGGAGAAAATAGGGGGCTTGAGCCACCTAAATCAATGGGACTTTGGCGATTCTGAAATTAAATTCTGGAGTGATACAGAGCCTTGGGAGTGCCTTGAACTCCTTGTTTTCTTTTTAGTTGGTCACACGGCTAAAACAAAGTATTTTGACAGCCTCCCAGGAACAAGGGCCCTTAAATAGCATTTTTACACAATGGAGAATTAGATACAAATAAGGGTTTTATGTGGGGTGGAGTCTCTACTTGAAAACATCTGTAACTCTTGCAGCTAAGCTCTTGGTGCATAGGTTTGGATAACCCAAGAGAAGTTGTGCTTTTAACAGAAATTTTCCAATTATTTAGACAGAAAGCCTGTGTACTGGTTTAGGTTTGGGCACAGTTAATTTTCTTCATAGCTATACCATACCAGCTACTGCAATTTGTGTTTGTGCTGAAAACAGTGCTGATAACGCAGGGATTTACTGCTGAGCAGTGCTTGCACAAGGAGTTGTGAGGGGACACAGCCAGGGCAGCCAACCCCAACTGACCAGCGAGATAGATACCCCATACCATGTGGCATTGTGCTCGGCAATAAAACTGGGGGAGGAAGGAGGAAGGGGGGGATGTTCAGAGTGATGACATTAGTCTTCCCAAGTAACTGTTACATGTGATGGAGCCTGGCTGTCCTGGAGACAGCTGAGCACCTGCCTGCCGATAGGAGGTGGTGAGTCAATTCCTTGTTTGGATTTGCTTGCGTGCGTGGCTTTTGCTTTACCTATTATGCTGTCTATCTCAACCCGTGAGTTTTCACACCTTTCACCCTTCCTATTCTCTCACCCATCCCACTGGTGGGAAGTGAGCAAAATGGCTGTGTGGCACTGAGCTGCCTACCAGGGTTAAACCAGAACCTGTTTGTTTCATTTTTTTGGTGGCTCAACCTACCTCACATGTTCTCACGCATTTCAAGCTAACAAAGAAAACGCCTTCCTAGTTAAAGGATGGCTAAATGCTGTTCATCCCAACTGAGTCTTGAGGAACTGGCAGAAAGGGAACACGCAGCCAAACTGACAAGAAGTGCAGCACTGAGCTGTGCCTCCTTCATTGCACTGTGTAATCAGAACCATTACTAGTACAACATGCAGATGAGAGCGCTGTGCTGTGAAGAGGCCTATATGCATATGGCTTCCCTACCTATCGCTTTCATAGCTTGCTTCAAGAAGCTCACAGATCAGAAGTCACTGGCTTGCAAGAACATTTCCAGAAATTACTGAAGAGAGCAGCCGCTGAAGAAAAGCTGAGTATTGGCAAAATTTTGTGTAAAATTCTATGTAATTGTGTCTATAGTTAAGATTTTAGGTTGTAAAATGACCTGAGAATCTGCCTCTAGAATCGTAACTCTGCATTGAGAACAAGACAGCACCAAAGGGAGGGACACAAGGAGTCAGTGTGAGCCAGAACTGCCTGCCTCCTTCCTATGAATGAGTGAAGAACACAGGTGACTTGAAACAGGTAAAGTGCTGAGCAGTATGTGTGGAAAGAAGGGATCTAGGAAGAAAATCCCCAGTAAAACAGGTTGCATTCATTTTGCCCATGGAGTAGTATGCTTGTTTCCTGCAGTTTCTATTCAATATTTAAAAAAAAAAAAAAAAAGTGTTTCTTTCGCTTCAATTGCACATTTCTGGCCACATCCAAGTAATAGACAGATTTCTATACAGGGGCTGTCCTTGCTTGGGCACAACTCTCAATGGTTTCATGATGACTCCTTAAACATGCATCAACAACTATCTTGGAAAATTACTCCTAGAATTTGGAAGCACAGATTTGCCTGTTTCTGTAACTGCTTGCTGCATCTGCCACTTGTTAAGGTTCTAATCATTCTCACAGTCTATAATCTCTCTGCCACTACCTTCACAGACACAAACTGGCACCAAAGAGAAAAAGTATTCAGCACAGGGCTCTTGAAATAATTCCAGTGAAGTTCTATCTGTTTAATAAAATAACCACCTCCACTGCTACCATTACTAATGCCGAAAGCTGTAACAAGGATGTAACAGAATGAACATCTCATTCAAAACAAAACAGAGAGGTGAACAAAACTTTAGCTTCTAGTCAGAGCTTGTAGAACTCCCTGTTCTGTGTGCATACTAATCACAGGAGGCAACACAAAAATGTTTTTAAGGAGCTGGGTACTTACCTAGCGATGACTTCTTTTGCTGTGCTTAGAACTGAGACTTGAACATCAGCAACATAAGTGAACACTGCGTAACTGGACATCTTCAAACACAAAGCTGCACCCGAGCCACTGATACTCACTGTTAAGACCACTCTATGTAGAGAATTCTCTGAAATGCAGGTCACAGCCACATCCTGCTGAGGATGCTGGAGGGCAAGTGCTTGACTCGTCCTTGAGGTGTACCAAGACACTAAGAATGAATGATTTTAAGTGGTGGAGAGAAGTCACAAAACACACTAATGTGAGCTGATTATATCCTATAAAATTTGCAGCACCCTCCCCTGCCTTTATTTTGCGAAAGTTAGGCACAGAACACACAAGGCTTCATAACAGTTGTCTTTTAAAATTTGCATTAGAAAGATACCTTACTAAAGCAACAGCTGTGTGATACAGCTGAGGGAACACTAAGCATACTTTAGCTAGCAAACCACAACTTGGAGACCAGCTCACAGATGCTCTCAAGTATAAACTGTCATACGTATGAAATTTCTTAATTCCTTGGCTGTTTTTTCAATAAAAACATCTGCTCACGTGGTAAGAGCAGACACTGAAAGTCTGTTATGTTTTACCAAATTCTTAGCTGATACCAGCCACGTCCAGGCTGCTGCAGCTCCCTCTACCATGCAGATCCCTCCCATTTAGTTGACAGTGAAGATGAGCTTTTTCCTCAGTGTGAAACTGGGCTGTGGCATCTGCTTCTCTGCATTTGGCTTGCAACTCTTTCTGCTCACCTCTTGATTCACTGCTGTCAGAATGGTGAGAATATCTTCTCCTCTGCAAAAACACAAGTATATTTTGTATTAGGGATGCAGTTAACATCAGAAAAATTACCACATTCTCATATATCTTGAGCTATACCAGTGCTAATGGCTCCTGTTTTAAACAGGCTTCAAAGCAGTTAGCTAAGCTGCTCTGAACAGTCTGCATGGTGTTGCTCTCTCTCTTACATTGCTGCTTTCACTCTGAGCAAGCACTCCCACTGCATATCATCAACCTCTGCATCCAAATCAAACTCCTGGGGTTCAGAAGGAAAATATAAGTGTTGCCAAAAAAAAGCTTATGGAAACATAGTTACCGAGGACAGCTGTACTCCAAGTGCTGGCACAGTGCCTGTATGTACCAGGTCCCCTGCCTTGGGCTCCTGTAGGAAACATAATCTTGCAGGGTAGCCATGCCCAAGAGGAAGTCTGCCTCTGAGGGGATGCAGTCAAGCTGAAATCTTGCATCTGTTTCTACAGAATAGTCTTGCTCTTCAGAATCTGTTTCGATGGTCACACCTTTCTGGCAAGCATCACCTTGGCAGGCTTGAACAAAAAAGACTTTTGGTTTTCCAGCAAGTGAGCGGCAATTCTGTCCAGTGAAAGAAGTGGTCAATTCCTGGATAGGTACTTCCTGCCCATCAACACCATATATAATGCCTTTTTTCCCATGAGATAGGATACAGCAAACAAAACAGTCTTTGTCTTTGTGGTCTTCACACTGGTAGATGTTCACAATCTTACGGATCTCCTCTGCAGTGAGGTCTCTATATTCTGCTATTGTAAAATGAAGCTTGCTAAAGACTCTTCTCAGAGCAGCTGGAAAGTAAACAGAAGGAGAATTGGAGCTGTTTCATTATATGACAGTCGGACACTGCAATTGCAAATTGCATTTCTAGAGATAAACTATCTTTTTTTTTTTAATCTTGCTACACTACTATCTGGGTGTTACATTCCTGCTCTGAAAATCATCTAGTTGTCTAATCACTCATAATTCTGCTGAGTTCCCTTAATTCTCATTAAAAGGCTTCCTTGAAATCTTGCTGTTTAATATTGCCTCTGTCTGGAAAGCGTGCAGAACTGTTAAGAAAGCTGTATTTCTTTCACCCACCCATTTAACAGCTAGTCCCTTAATCTCTCAAAAGGTGTTGAACAGTGCAGTTGCTTTACCCAAGAGGAGAGGGCACTACCCATCTAGGTAGTACCTGTGTCACAGGAGGAGAAACCCTGCACTCTGACCCTTGAATTAAGTTGAAGTTCAATTCAATCTGGGAAGGTCCATTGATGGATTTCATCTCTTGATATAGACAGTGCAAATACACTCATCTCATAGACTCCAGGACCTCCAATGAGCTATGCTGCTGCAGGACAGACTGCTAAAATCAGGGGCCCTGAATAGCAAGGTAATCGAGCCCCTAAATTCCAACATCCTCCCTCTCCCACCCCCCGTCCTTTTAAGTCGGATGTTAAACAACTAACACCAAATTCTGGTTCAGCAGCAAATCTGTTTCTGATTCTGCATATTTTAGTAGCGGTATGCATAAGGCTGACTCAAAGCTAGCCTAGCTTGTAAAGTCCTGGCTGAGATTGCTGCTTAAGATTGCAGGAAACTCAGCAAAACAGTAAAATGCTAGTTAATTGTCCTGAGTCAGCCAGTAAAAGCTTGATGAGTTGATTAGGGTTTGTCAGCACAGGAAACAGAGCCGACTCAGCCACTACAACAGAAGTATCCTAGAAAGGGAATATTGAAATTCAGACCTTTAGCACAGAAAAAGAAGGGAGGTTTCTATTTTGAAGATACGCAAACTCATCTTTAATGTTCACCATACCTGCATCCACATCTGTCCCATTCCGATCCTTCATGTTTTTAGGTTCCGGCACTGCTTCCCTGGCTTTGGCGAAACTGTGATTATTCAGGATCAGGCACACTCCACGGGGTCGGCTAGTCATTTTGTAAGCTTCAAGCTGTTGAAAGGAAAGACCATTGGTGAAACTACTGCCCCCTCCTCCAGGTGCTTCTCAGCCCTTGCTAGTGGCACAGCAGGGTGAAGAACCAGCCAGCTTTCTCTCTAGGCAGCCCTCCCTATACAGCTTTGCTCCCAGGACCTGGCAATATGCTGCCCCACCGCCTTTGGGAGTCTGTGCACAGCATGCCAGCACCCCCCAGACCCACATCATCATGTTCAACTCACATGGTGCTGCATTCATGCATTTCTCCATGCCCTGCCATTTGCCAACTGTGTATTTCCTGGTATAATAAACTCGGCCTATCTTGCCACCCCTGCAAATGTTTCTGCAGTTTTAACACTGCACTAGCTGCAGCCACCTGTGACAGCTTCAGAATAAAGGATGCTACAGGGTTACGCATTTTTCTTTTTGTAGACAGTGCTTTTAACAGTTGGGCTTATAATAACTGTTCACTTCATGGAGGGATGATCTCTTCTAAGACAAAATGATGACGTTTCTAAGAAACAAACTGGCTTACCTGGGAAGATTGATTCCAACTGCCGGGAGAGTCAGGTGCCACAGATGATGCCAGCCATCTAGCATGCGCTGAATACAGACAAAAAGTTTAAGTACAGAATGTAGCCCTAGACAAGAAGTTCTATTCCTGTTCTCCATCTCCACAAGCATCTCCCAAGGTAAAATTGTTCTCTGAAAACACTGAACTGTGGCTGAATGGCTGTTTCTGTTAGCTATAAACCACTAGCTAATCAACTAAAAGGGATTAAAATGTATTGCAATCAGTTAGTAAGTAACTGCATACTTGATCACTTTTTCAAGACACCTGTGTAAAGAAGTGAGATATAAGTGGTGTACAGAGTCTAAAAGTTGAAGAAGAGCAAAAAAATCTAAACATTAATTTTTTGATCATTTCAATTACCTTCAGGGCCTCCTGTGCTGCCCTTCTGTTCCTCTGTGATGATCATCTCTTCACCTGAAAAGCATTCATTATTAGTCCTGTATGACATCTATATCTCATTTCAAGAATAACTATGGGAAAGAGGCCTTTTTGTTTTGTTTTGTTTTACCAAATAGGTTTAATTCATACTCTTCAATTCTCTTCAACAGGCTGATGTTAATTTCTGCACAGAGATTCTTCAGGAAATTTAGGTTGTCTTCTCCCAAAATCCCCTTCTTCTCCATCTCAATGAAAACGTCGAGCATTGTCTGGGTAATCAGAAAGGTAGTTTGCTCTTAGGGCACATCCATGCTGCCACTGGGAGGGAAGTTGCAGCATGTGCATGTGTACCTAAGCTTTAATGTACCAATAGCACATGCAACCCACAGTCAGTCCAGCTGACTGGTAGCTCAGTTGAGACCTCAGCTGAGTCAGTTAAACCTAGTTCAGCAAAACCTCCAAGTACTGTAAGTATAAACATCTCAAAACACACTCATGTCCCTTCTGCAGCTCCGATGCTGACTTTTAACAGGATCTAATCCAGACCTCATGGTGATCATACAGGAATAGATAATGTAATTTTTAATTACTTTCATTCATTGGATTTTCAGTGGCTATCTTATACACTTAACTGAAAACGCAAGAATCACTGTAGTGACCATCTTGAGCAATGGCAAAAATGTGTATAACCACACAAGTATGGTGTAGAGATAGCTCTGAAGCAACAGGGAATCCACAGGACAGGAGCTCTTGACAGTGAGTGGCAGAGTGCAATGGTCACTCCAAGGATTTACTAAAACAGTAAATCCTAGATAGGCACAGTTTCTCCTCTAAGAAAAGAGGGAAAATGCTAAAAGTTTCCATTAGACAGAACAAAGTACCCAGCAGTCAGAACTGCAGGGTGAGATAGTCTAAGAGCAGTTGGTTCTCCCACAAGACTATCTGTAAACTCCAAGCTCTTGGACCTTAGCCTTGGTAAGGACCTACTGCTTAGAACTGTATTTTCTGAGTTTGGTAATAAAAAGAACAAAAGCATAAAGTAATAGCAACAGTGGGTGATTTTCTGTGTTTGAAAATGGCTTCAAAAATAGCCAAACTAAAATCGGTTGGACGAGTGAATGTGCTCATGAGCCTTCCACTGATCAAAGCCACTGAGTCCCTTAAGTCCCACATGGTGCTTGGACATGAAGGCCTCTGCGCCTGGTGCAAGGCTGGCCCGTGCTCTCTGGGCTGCCACCCTGCTGCAAAAGCTACACTAACACTAGCACAGCCAAGTTCCATATGCACTGGAGAGCCTATAATCCCTTTCCAGGTGCACCCTTTTACTTATGGTGTTTTCACCATAGGACAACTGACACCATAAGAATAGTGACACTCATTTGCCTCATAGCAACTCAAATGCCTCTATGGATTATAATAAGCATTAAAAAATACCCCCAGGAACAGGTTTAAAGAAATTCTTACAGTCTTAGGGTTTAGCCTGCATTTTGGTAATTCTTTCCCCAAAAGAAACTTGAAAGAATTCAGCTCATCTTCAGTGGTATCTTCTGACAGCTGAAAGAGCAGGTATCTAGAAAGAAATGTGGAAGACACTGTTTCATCATGTTCCCAAGCCCATCCCTTAGCACAATTCAACGCAGTACTGCTGAACCGCCCCATTCACCACCCCTCCCCAAGCATATATTCTCCTTTTTTTCCTTTTTAAATGAGGGGGGTGTCAGTCCCAGGAGAGCCTGAAGTCAAACCATTTTCAGCTGCAATTAAAAAGACATCAGTTTTCCTAAAATCAAAACCACTCTGAAACTTTCTGGAGTTGAAAACAGAGACTCACACCCAGTCACTTATCACGGCACAAGGGCAGGGAAGCCACCGGGGGCTGGTAAGTATTTCAGAAAGGTGTGGCTTGTTTTCTCCCTTTTACTGGACAGAAATTTCAACTCTCCGTATGGCCTGTACCAGTTTTCTCCCAGAAGGCGCTTCTGCGCTTCCAAACCGTAGCCTGGTCTTCCAGTCGTCGGTAAAAGCTTACACCGACCCCACGAGAAGGGCAGCCGGTCCCAGGGAGCGAGCTGCTCCCCGGTGAGGCTCGGCCCGTCCCCGCCCGGCGAACCCGCGCCGCCGGGCGCTTACCTGTAGGCCGACACCTTTGCCCTGCCAGGGATCTGAAGCTCTCTCTCCATCTCCTCTCGGCTGGAGCCCAGGTGGGCAGCCAGGAGGTCCATCCGACTGATCCGGAACAGCAGCTCCTTCAGGAAGGACAGGCTCCCCGCCTCGATCATCCCTTTCTCCTGCAGCGCATCGAAGAAGTCCTGTGCCTTCTGGATGGCTTCCAGCTTCCTCATAGGGACGTGCTCCAGGCTGAGGAACTTCAGAGCCGCCAGCTCGGCCTCGTCCAGCTCCTCGCTGACCACCAGCAGCAGCTGCCTGGGGAGCTCCATGGCCGCGAAGGGCTGAGGGCCCTTCCGCCCGCCGCCGGGTTGGGGCGGGCAGGGGGCGGCGCCCGGGCCCCTGGGAGTTGTAGTTCCTTCTCGATTTCTAACTTCAACCAAGAAACCCGCAACTTAACTTAAAAACTGCTCGTCTGGCAGAGAGGATTTGTCTCAGATGCACTTTAGGCCCCCCTCCAGCTAGTGTTACAAAGCACTGACTATTCTCGAATCCATTCTTGAGAAAACTGAACCTACTAGTGCAGGTCTAACGGCCTCCCTCTGCCCAGGCTTCTCCTGCAACCACCTCTCTCTAGCTTGAAGTCACTCACAATTCATTGCCATTTTAATACAAATGGAGGAACTCGTAACAACACTGACTTGGCTTCCTCCTCACGAGCCTTTTGGGGCTCTGATTTAAAGCCAGTGTCCCTTCCCCCAAATAAACAAGAAAAAAGTTTGACAATCTACTAGGCAGAAATCTTCACATTGTTATCACAGAAATGGCTTATCAGTGCTCAAAACCCTATGCAAGCTATGTCCTCAAGTCATGTCAAAACAAGCTCTTCCTAGTAAATAGACTGAAGGAGGTAAGGATCCTTCTCTTTGCAATGATAAGCCTGGAAAAATCAGGCCTAAACACCAAGTGGCTACACAAATATAAAGCTAATGTAAAAGACCTAGGCCAAGCTCAGAAGACATGTCCAGAGCAACGTTTCACCTAGCTAGCAATGCATGACAGTTGGCACCCACAAAAGCCAGCCACGTTGGAGGCCTGGGGAATTCCTGTGGCTGCTAATAACAGAACAGATACAGTGACAAGCAAAGACACAACTAACAGAAAGGACACACAGAAATTAGTATCTGGGAAATCCCGAATATCTCAACTATATTTTTTAGTGCATTGCACAGAAGTAATTGCAGATTAAACATGATATTCTCTGTTCATAATTTGACATCTCTCTCGTTGAAAAGCAGCAGATCTGAATAATTTCTGACAGAATGTGCCCATGTTAGGGGTCAGAATAAAAAGGGTAACCAGCAATGGCTGAACACCCAACATGTCCTGAGAAAAAATCTAGCTCTGGATTCCCTGCTTGTAGCTTAATCTCCTAAATGGTGTGTATTTTCTTTCCGTTTCTTCCTGGGCATCACATTTTCCTGCAGGAGATCTTACAGATCACAGACATAGCCAACCATTCAACTAATCAAAACTCCACAGTACCTGAATGTTGCACCACTTGGAGAACTAAGAGTGAACCCCCTTATATACATGGTGGGAAAATACATACTTACAGCAATGGGAGCAGCTGTCAACAATCTGAACATGGGCAGGCTCCTCACATGTACCACTAACCCATCTCAAGATCAGCACATTAACAAGTCACACTAAAACCATTACGGTGGAGAGAATGACAAACTTCCTGTGGAAGGTGGGCATAACCACCGCTCTGGGAAACTTACATTAAACTGAATGAACAGGTAGCAAGACGCAAATGACTGGGCAGGGATTCATGCCACTGTGTAACAGACCTCCTCAACTCCTCTAAACATGTCCATGTTCAAACAGCATCACTCTGATCTTGCCTGCTTTCAGTTTAAGTCTGCAGGACTTTGATTCACCAACTCTACTTTTCTACCAACCTTCTGACTCCACCTTCTGGTGGCAGTGCTTCTGCTGGCTGTAAAACAAAACACAGAATTGAAAGCCAGGATTGTTTTGCTATAGCGTTTGGCCTCTCAGCCAGGAGTTGAAGGAAAGGGAGGACAGGCAAAGTGACTATAGCTGAGGGCCTTCAGAAAGGAAAGGGGATTGTCTCTCCCCATTCTCCAAGTTGTGCTACAGAAGGAAACCAGAAAGTTGCAGATCTGACTTCCTTCTTACCTCTCAGTTCTGTGGGAGGACCACAAATACATGCAAGAACATATCAGCCACACTGCTGCAGGTGTGTGTGAGCATACTTTGCTCAGAACCATAAAACTCAAAGTGTTTTCTCCTTGATTGCTGCATGTCACACATATTCACAGTACAGCCACTTCCTGCAGTCCTTTAGAGGAATATGACGGGGTTTTCTCTCCCTTCTAGTAGGTCTTCATCAGCAGGCAATAATGTTAGCTATGGAGGTGGTCAGATTTTAACAGGTAGAACAAAATACCATGCCAATTTAATGACAGGTTGTGACTGACCAGCACACACCCCCACTGGAGGACGGCTTAGAGAAGGGCAAAAAGCCAATCTCAGGGAAGAATGTATTGTAGAGAAAACTCATTTTACCTCAACATCAGAGAGACTGGAAGGTAACCTTAGTTTTAGAGAAGACAGCTGCACCTGTGAATCATCAGGTACCCCAAGACTATTAATAAAGAATAATGTCTTCCCAAGCTAGCCAGACCAGCATGGGGGTGTGAATACATAGCTCAGCCCAATATAAAAGTATAAAAACTTTACAACTGATAAAACATTTAAACTTTGAAAAGAGCAATGGGCCTGAGGTGGCTTCAACCCACATGTTCCATCGTGACTGCAAATGCCCAGTGTCATGATGGTGAACATACAGAGACTGGTGAGAATCATGTTTGTATTGTGATTCAACTGTACATTTCAATTGATAAATTATGCTGGTGTTGTGATTTCAGTATGTTGCTGTATCACTCTACTAAATCCACTAGCACCAAAATCCCAATTAGCACCAAATATACCAAATAAGTGAATCTGATACCCAGTTCCTCCTCATGTGGAGTATCTGAAAGAACCTGGTCTGAGAGTATTGAACTCTGACACAGAGAAATATGAAAAAAAAGGAATGTTGTAGATTCACAACTTCACTACCGGAGCAGCTGCCACCTTCCAGCAAGTGTCTCCTGGAGGAAGCAGTTATTTCATTTAATCATAGAACCATACAATGGTTTGGGTTGGAAGGGACCTTAAAGATCATCTAGTTCCAACCCCCTGCCACGGGCAGGGCCCCCTTCCCCCAGCCCAGGTTGCTCCCAGCCCCGTCCAACCTGGCCTTGAACCCTTCCAGGGAGGGGGCAGCCACAGCTGCTCTGGGCACCCTGGGCCAGCGCCTCGCCACCCTCACAGGGAAGAATTTCTTCCTTAGAGCTAATCTAAATCTCCTCTCTTTCAGTTTAAAACCATTCCTCCCTCATCCTATCCCTATACTACCCAATAAAGAGCCTCTCCCCATTTTTCCTGTATCCCCCTTTAAGTACTGGGAGGCCACTATAAGATCTCCCCAAAGCCTTCTTTTCTCTAGGCTGAACAACCCCAAATCTCTCAGCTTAAGCTATATTTCCTGATCATAAAACAACATTCACAAATCTAATTACTAACTTCATATCAGGGTCTCATTTATGAAAAAGTATAAAAATGTAAATGAAGTGTTGCCACATTTCCTAAATGGTTAACCATGTCAGCCACGGAACTGTATCATACCTGGTAACACCTTCTGGTAACTTTTGCCACAAACAGCACTCTCATTTACATAATGCTTGTAACATCTACTTACTATTTATGAAACCTGCATGAACAGAGCTGTAATTCTAAGAATGGGCATTCTCCCTTTTACTTGGAAGATGAAAAAGGGTAAGGGAAGGAAAATGCAACTGACAACACACTGTATGGAACTGGAAAAAAAAATTTTGCTTCAAGAACACAAGCAGGATTGAATAAAGAACCTCTGCTTCACGTCTAGACATGGATTTCCAAAAAATACAAACTAAAAAACCCAGAAGTTACAATGTGTCTCAAATCCATCCTTTATCCTGTTATAAACTCAAAAGAAACGTAGCCATTAGAATCCCAGGCAGTTCCCACATACCACCTACACATTGCTGAGGATGCAAAGTTAAAACAGCCTCACTGGCATCAGCTGACATTATGAAAGTCCTGAACTTCAACTTACTCTCCTACCATCTTTCCAGCTGCTAACGAAGGGATATCAGTATGCTACCCCTCGGGGTGGCTGCCATCAAATACTTCAACAAGAGCAAAATATCTTCTTCTGCTGAAGTGAAAGTGTCATGGTGACTGACCCTCAGTCAGCTCATTCAAAGGAGAAACACATCACAAACAATGGTGATGTGAAAACGAAGAATATTTATTAAAACAGAAGAGTCCACAGGAGCTAAAGGTAGCTGCCAAGAGGAGACGGCATCTCAGAGCAGTGGATCTAATGGCATGGGACCTTCCTTCCAGCAGTTGTTAACCATCCAAAACAGACCATCCCCTAAGAGCTCTGAGAAAAAACACAATTAGAACCCTTACTATTAAAAAAACCAAACAGCAGTGCTGTTCAGCCAAGTAACTTAATAACATACAGCAAACCAAATATTTAGAGGGAAAGAACCAAACTTGTATTATTATAATCATCTTTTTTTGGTCCTTCTGGACAGGATCAAACTGTTATTTTCCATGAAAAATTAAACAGCTTCCAGAGACACCCAATGATTCACCTCTGGGTAAATCAGTTACAATCTCACACATGCTCCCTGAGAAAGGATCTAGCATTCTGAATATACCTGTTATTTCCTTCAGATTTCAGGGACTTATAACAACTTGGGAAGAAGTGGGGCTTCCATTGGCATTTCCAATAACTCTTAAAAAAAAAAAATCACACTACTTGAAAGTGCTTCCTCACTTGAAATCCAGACTGAACAGACTCCACTGCTTCTGCAGGAGAGAAAGCCAGATCTGTACTCCTCCATGACCTTACCAGACTGCTATAGATCCAGGTGCCAGGAGACTGATTAAAAACAGGCATTAGAAAATTTATGTCCCATAGCACCTTGAAGGACTGGGGCTAACTACACAGATGCAGATGATTTCTCTTGCAAAATCTATTCCCTGTGGAAGCCCATTCCATATGGGATTCCTAACTGAATGTATTCTTACTTTTCTACTTTTCAATTGACTGACATTATGGAATTTGGAAGATCAATTGCTTCCGTAGGGTTGATGTTATCTTTGGCATCTGCTTCCATCCATTTAAGACTCTTCTTCCCACCTCCTTGTTCACTTCTGTCAGGATGGTTATGAGATCCTTGTGGCTTGAACAAAAACAAAGAAAAGTTACATTGAAATACATGCTACTTGCAGCTAAGCTAAGAAGCTGAACTATGTTTGCTCCAATAAAGTGCTATCTCAGGGAAGGCTATTACCTTCCCCTCACCCTGTCTGTCACTGAAATTGCACGCTCCATTTTGTAACCACAGAATTCAGTGTGCCTGGGGAAATAAAAGCAACCTCCATGTAGCATCACTACTGGAAGATGCAGACCCCTGCTTTGGTTATAGTCAGAAGAGCCCAGTAAGATGAAACAGAACTTTGAATATGCATTCTCCACACTCTGTTCTGGGCACCATGAGAAAGTGACTGATGTCTGAACAGAAATTCTATTTTCTAAATCAAGTTTATGATGCATATGGGAGGAAGGCAACAATGAAAATTATGACTAAAAACACTTATTTTGTCTGCGCAATCACTCAACAAAGTCACTTCTCATTAGGTGTCACTGGAAGAAAAATCATTTATCAGTCAAAAAATGTTAAAATCATGCACATATGTACACATACTTGTCTACGTGTAATGTTCCAGCATTACAACACTGGTTCTGTTACAGGAAAACTAGGGCAAGTCACTTGTGCTTTGGTTCATGTGTATAAGAAAAACAATGCCCAATTCCAGATTAAGTACTGTTCTACACTGTCTTGCAGGTGAAAAGTATTATACATCACAAATGCAAAACACTGATGTTTCAGCACAGCATGCTTAAGCGTGTGTGTCTGCAATACCCCAAATGTACATGCATTGAAAATAGTACTTACAGTGGGCAAAGCAACTCCATCTTGTCACAGAGGCATTGAATGTAAACACTGCCAGTCTCTGTACAGCGGTAGCACTCATAGTCTTCCACTGTAGCCATGCCAACCAGGATATCAGCTTGATCAGGAATGGAATTCAGAGGGGTAGCGTCTGTCTCAAAATGGCCAGAGAAGTCTTCTTTTACTGTGACAGCTGGATGACCTACAGAGCCTTGGCAAGCCTGGATGAAAAACAGCTTGGGTTTGCCAGCAAGAGAAGGACAATTAGATCCACTGAAGCAGGAGACTAAATCTTTAATATTTACAAACTCATGATCAGCTCCTTTTATTTTGCCTTTTTCACCATGGGAAAAAATGAAGCAAACAAAACAGTCCATGTTACTATGATCTTTTCTGCTGTATTCTTTAACTTTCACATACATTTGCTTTGCTTCTAGATTCATGTACTCAGCTGTCTCAAACTGAAGCCACTTAAAGACCCTCTTCACAGCCTCTGGGGGAAAAAAGTCAGAAGGCACTTGTTAAACATAAACAGTGACAAGGAAGATGCTGAAGCATCAGTATCTGTGTGGTAGATCAGATATCAGAAGTAGTGTCCAGATTTCACCAATAAACTCACCTGACTGACTCTTAGCCCACCAAATCTAATTAGAAAAACCCAAATGCCTAATTTTAATTTTTTTAAACATAACTGGGTTAAGCATCACGCTACCTAAAACAAAAATAGGTTTCAATTATTTGATTAATTGGTACAAATCAGTGAAGCTAACTGTATTAAAGCAAGCTTTAACTGTTCATTGCATAGTAAGATGCTTAAGAACAACACTTAGCAAGTTAAAGAAGAGGTACCTCTTTAGAATGACAAATTCTGCTACTCTTAAATGACATAGGTCCCTCATTCTGTGAGATTGATCAATACAGCAAAAAGGAAAGCAGAGTAACCCACTAACAAATGCTAAGCTGATTTCTCAGCAAATGTTGACTTAATTGTTGTATGGGCAGTGAGAAAGTAGCTGGGAATCAAGCAGCCTGTAGACAGGCTGGATGGAGTTAAAATATCAGTGATGTGTGCTTTCATGAAACAGATTTTACTTTTTTTGAAAATAAATTCTTGTTTATCTTAAAAATGACTCTTGCAGGAAGACAGGTTTTAAGGAAAATTATAAAGCAGTAGCATTTATTTGAGCATTAAAGAGAATTTAAGGACTTAAAAATATTATTCCATGATGGCTAAGAATTAAAAACAATCAAAAAGTGAAAGGTGGAATAGTAATCTCTCCTTCACTATTCGGTACATATGACCAATTAAGACTTTGTTTTTTACCTAGAACACAAAGCGATTAATTCTTTAAGCCACCGGCTAAACTGTTAGAAGTGACATATGTTCTACTGTGACTGTCATTCCAGTTACTCTGGAGGCAAAGGAGCTCAGTGGACGTCATTACTTTCCACAGGAAAAATCAGATAATTCTTTCAGAGAATTATCAGAGAAAATACTAAACCAGTAATTGGATTTAAAAAGTACTTACCTCCATCTTTTACTGTTCCTTCTCTGGCTTCATACGGATTTTTAAAAATGTGGTTGTTAAGAATGACACAGTAACCATGGGGGTTATTTTTCATCTTATATGATTCCACAGGCTGTGGAAACAAAGCAGATAAGAAAGCAGTGCCAAACATCCAAAAGAGAAATATGCTATACATAGCTTGCTGGTCCTTTGTGTCCAAGCGCAAAAACACTCATCAGGGCCAAGGTACAAGAAAGGAAAAACCTAAGAATACAAGCTAGCTTCAGAGGAGAGGAATCTGCTTTGTCTCCCTTAACCCCTCCTCCTTTCTCTCTGTGGTTAGGATATGATTTTGGCATGGGAGAAAGTGAGTATTCAGAAACACAAATTTACATGTGCAGAGGAAAAGTTTCTGCACCCTACCATTCCCTCTGACAGTCCTTGTGGGTTTCTAATGAGATAGCAAATTCTGTTCCCTTACCATCTGTTCAGGAATATCCTGGCCAGGACTTTAATGTCGCAGCCTCCACTATCATTAAGACTGTTTTTCTTCACACAACAGCTACTCCTTCATTTCTTGCCTAAAAGGCTGCTGACATCCAGGTCCTCACAAAGGAACAAGGCTTGGTCTTGTTTTGAAAATAGGAAGTGTTCCCAGGTCTACATATAAAGCCAGAACCCCTCTTTCTCATCTCTTCCACTTGCTTAGTCTTAAGAATTCATGCTCCCCCCTCCCAAGATTGTGATAAATACTTTAATCTCAAGGTATTTCTCACCATGTGTGGTGTCTCCACCTCTGCTCCTTGTCCTGCTGGACACACAGACAGTGGATAGTGGAGTTTTTCCTTAGAATCATTTTCTAAAAGGGAGAAAACAGACAGAACATTTTGGGACTAAAAAGATCAATTCTCCACTGTGCATATTCCAACACTCAAATAAACAGTACAAAGAATGAGGCGGAGGGTGGCTTCCACATCACTGAGACAACATCATTTTGTAGAGCTGGGATAAGCAGGGTTCCAGTTTCACAGACTGCTGGTTACTGAAGCTGTGAAGAGCTATACTCCATTTCTTCTCTGCTCTTTTACTGGTAGCAAGATCCAGATAATCAAAGGCTGAATGTAAGTAGTCACCTCAGGCAAGCCATTCACTAGCATCTCCACTATGGGATACATAAGTGAAGAGGAGACACATTTTTGTAGTGGTACACCACAGATAGTTCATTTACTTCTGAAGCTATCATCTCTTCTCCAGAAAACATTACTGTTTGGGTGGATGCACCAAGGATGCAAAGTATCAGCATAATGGAAGATCTCCTCAAAGCAACAGAACACTTCTTTGAACACAACTGCCTGATGTAAGTGAAGAAATCATCAAACCCATGACTCTGCCCAAGGAAATAAATCACAGTATCCCTTTTACAGGTTACACATATGTGTTTAAATGTAATTTAATTGTCAGGGCAACAAGATCTACCAGACATGCTCTTTTTTTATTTATTGAGGGGGATAAAATATTAACAATACTACTAGAAAGCCATTCCCCTGACACAGGGCTTGCTTACACCAGCCACCCTTGTCAATTTTCTTGTGCTCTTTTAAAGACACAAGCATAGGTCAGCAGCACAAAGACATGCTGGGGAAACTATATGGTATCTCTGCAGGGAACTGCACAGGCTGTGTAGATGTGTTTAAGGAAACACATGTCCTAAGTCATCTGAAAGGAGATCCTGGGGAAAAATTTGATAGGTCTCAGTTGTTGTTGGTTGACGCATCCTGCTTCTCCAAGAGTAAGGCCTAGCTGTGGTGTCAGAAGTCAGCACCTCTGCTACAACAGCCCAGATATACCTAAGTCCTTGAAATTTTACATTCGGTACAGAAAACTAATGGTTACACTTTAGCCAAGTACCTGGTCTGCAGGGACTTTTCCTTTGACTAAGAGCAAACAGCCTGGCTAAGAGAAAACAATTCTGACAATCTCCCAATACAAGTTTTCCCAAGGCAACTGCTACTTCTAGGCTCTTTCAGTGACTGAAAAGCTATGCTGGTCCAAAATCACCGCTGTACTGTTTCCTAAAGAGAAAAAACTGTATTTAGGGCAAAGAGGAGGGAGAAGCAGACCAATTACAAGTCACAGAATGTATTTCAAGGAGAGATACAAGAAAGTATGATGGGATAATAAAGTAGCAGAAAACTTCAGAAACCACAAGTACCACAAGAGCCTCTCTGCCTACCCTAGGATATTGTAAGGTCTCTCTCTTATCTCTGAACTCCTAAGTTTCAAAGGATGGAACCACAAAAATCACAACACCCCGCCCCACGTATACTCTTCAGCAGCAGATTATATAATTTACCTTTTTTTTTTCCTTCATAGATATCAATTTTTTTCTTTATGTCAGCTCTAAATCCCTTTAATATATCTTTCAGCACTGCCAGGTCATCTTCTTTAATTATCCCATTTCTTTCCATTTCCAGTAAGACCTTCAACATTGACTGGTAAAACAAGAACACATAACCCAAACTCATACAGTGACCTTCAATAACTGCAGTATCAGGCACTTCTTGACAGAGCAGAAGAGAACATCCTCATTCCCAGAGACTGACAGCTAAAGATCAATTTCTTTTTCCTCCGAACCTCATTAAAACAAGGGTCAGGATGCAATGCAACTGAAGAAACACATCACTAAGTTTAAGACAGGATAATTAGAAACTGCCTATGGCTAGGTTATCCTAGCCTATCAAAGCACTAATGTAAAATGTTGTTACATGGCATCCTGTTGTGTCCCTGTGTTCAGATGAAGTGCTATTACATCATTTAGATGTGCCATTTTACATTTTCTATTACAGAAAATGCATTCAGGGCTACATTTGTTTTTTGAAGCTCGATATTCCACTAAATTGGAGGTAAATCTGCTCATTTTCCTGTAGGTGACACAATACAAATAGGACTATTAAGGAAGCTTCTTAATAATACCAGGCATTTTTATAACTGTTCATTATTTACAATACAAGTATTAGACTAGCTCATCAAACCTCTTAATACTTTTGTGGGGAAGTTAAAAAAATGCTGTTGGCCCAAATTACAATAAAGAAGAAAAAGTACACAATGACATACAAAAATTTGTGGTTGAACTCACATTAGAACTCGATTTTCTGTCTCCAAACCATTGTTTTTCCTCCAGCAAACATCACTCTTCCTAGATACAGCATATGTACAAATGTCTTATAAATGCCAAGCAAGGATGAAAGGAAGAGCATGATGGGTTTTGCAGAAAGAAAAGATTAGAGAGATAGGTGGTAGAGGGAAAACAGGAACAGGAGAGCAAAAAAGGGCAGAGAAAAGATACAATGAGAAAAAAATAGGGTCCATTCTTTCACATGGCAGCTATCGGCTAATATCACAATTCTTTCAACAACAGATTTTAGTGAGAGCAGACTTTCTCTTTCTTCCCTTCTTATGAGAACTAGCATACTCTGAACTAGCCTTGCTGGAAAATTTATTAAGATTATTTTGCATACAGCATTATCCTGGAGCTTGTTCTTTGGTATTTGTTCTTGGAGCAGGAACTTCACGTGCTTGACATCTTCTGGAGTCAAGTCCTCTGCAATTCCATATAACAGTTGCCTGGCAATAAAGAATAGAGAAAGACTGATTAAGAAAGTTATGAGAAGTAAATACCACAATTATACATCTGAACTGCAAAATGTAAAACTCACAGTGTCAGGTAGTAATGCTGTAATAAATACAATTATGCTGGGATATTCATAAGACAAGAATGCAGATGGAAAACAAGACAGTACACAACAGAACTGTTGTACATTTTGCATGCAAAGGTTTACTACTTCTGTGTTTACCTGTAGGCCGACACCTTTGCCCTGCCAGGGATCTGAAGCTCTCTCTCCATCTCCTCTCGGCTGGAGCCCAGGTGGGCAGCCAGGAGGTCCATCCGACTGATCCGGAACAGCAGCTCCTTCAGGAAGGACAGGCTCCCCGCCTCGATCATCCCTTTCTTCTGCAGCGCTTCGAAGAAGGCCTTGGGCTCTTCGATGGCTTCCAGCTGCCTCATGGGGACGTGCTCCAGGCTGAGGAACTTCAGAGCCGCTAGTTCATCTGTGATCAAAGCCTCAGAAATGTCAAAAAGGAGTTTGTGGAAGCCTGTGCTCATTTTACATCCGGATTTGAATCTAAAGACAAACAGAAGTTGATTTAATTGTTAGTGACAGCAGTGCAACAACACGATTATAAAAGGTATCACATCATGTAGAATAGGCCAAAATAAATGTATGCAATCAAAAGTATTTCAGTAGGGAGAGGCCATCTTGCTATCATAGCTCTGATGCTTAGCTCTTCTGGTTCTCTTGACTTAACAAGGAATATAAAAAACTCTGCACTAAGTGAAGTTGACAGAGAAAGTCATGGCTTCCTAGGGTGTATCGAGACAGTGGGAAGTACCGATGCACAGGATGTACAATCCTGCCAGGTTGCTGCTGTTTTGTTTTGTTCTTTTCAGTTTTACTGTGGTTTGATCCCATTTGGGAACAAGAGCCACTTACCAGTCTGAAATACAGCCTATGTAGTAAATGAGACTGCCAGGTTTTACACCATAACAAAGATAAAGGTTTTACATCCTAACAAAGATGGGAGTCCACATGAGTATAACTCTTCTAAGCTATCTGGCTTCTCCTTTCTTTATACACTGCTTCTAACCCTGGTCAGTATAGCCAAAGCACCTCTTCCTGTTTTGGATTATCTGCATCAAGTAGAACTCAGTTACCAGCTCTCAATCAATTTGTAATACTCAAATAAAACAAAAAGAGCATCAAATACCACCTCCCTTCTCCACCACTTCTACCATCAGCTTTAGAAATATTAAACTTGGCCTATGGGTCCAACGTTTGAGCACAAGCACTAGTTAGAAAATACCAAGTGTGAGCCTCCCAACTATCTCACCCTGGCACTTAAAAGACCTGCTTCCACTGCCTCACTGGTAGGAGAACCATTTGCCACTTTATTCTTTCTGCCTTAGACCTAGGACACCTAGGAATCTCCGAAGAGAAATTCTACAGAAACACATTCCGTAGAGGTCTCTTGTCCCAGTGAACTCACTGGGACACAGAAAAGTTAACAAAACCTCCTACTCCTACACTACCGGAATATTAGGCAATCCATTTCAATGTTACTACTACTGCAAATGTTTCAGTAGCAGGGCTAGTAACTCTGTGGTAGCCCAGCTGACTAACTGAATTAATACTACTGTAAATATTAAAAAAAAAAAAAATAGCAGATAATTGTACTCCCCTCTCTTTCAAGGACCACTGTACAGCAAAGCAGCTTTTTGTGGCATGCCGTTGGCCAGCATTCTGTTAGATGAATCTTCAAACATTTGTCTATCAAAAAATCTGGTAAAACAGCAAAACATGCATTCTGATGCAACATACATAATTCATGCTCTGCCCTGTTTTCCTAAATCCCTTCAAACCAGACTTTTAAATAGACTAGAATCCATACTATTCAGCCCCTATCACCACAAAACCACTAGTATCTGAATGAATCATATGCGCTTAACTTCATGATTCAAGGATCTCAGATCTGAACTGTGTATTTTTATATCCACACACAAAGAGAATAATACTTTCTTGGTAGCTAGTTATGAAGTTACCTTCTTTCTCACATAAATCATGCCTTTTTTTTAAGATACAAGGCATGTGCAAATAAAAGTAAATCTTTCTGGTAAAGGGAATTTTCATTTTTATTTCTTAAACACTGAAAGTTTCAAACTCACAGAATCATTGCAATTAGAACAGATGTGCTACATGCACACTGTATTTAAGCCTGTCTGTAAATACACGGAGCACGCTAAAACAATGTTTAACTGCTTCTGTCTTTTTCTCCTACTTTATTAAATTAAAGATACAACTAATACAACAAGCAAACTGTTTAATTATTAAATGACTATTATTATTTACATCACTTACATGGGAGGACAGGCTGAAAGACTGCTGGACCAACTCTGAAGAAAGTGCAACAGCCATAGTGTCTAAAGTTCCAGGAAAAGTACTGCATATTGTACTATGGTCTATATTGTCACATGACTTACAAAAAGTATGTTATAACAGTGTAATAAGGTGTGGTCATAATGCAGCAGTTCCCTACTCCACCTATCATGGTTCCATTTTCAGGAAATTAATTATTACAGTGCTTGTGAGAAAAACTGGTAAACAAGCCACAAAAGTAACCTGGTTTCACTTTTGTTTTAAGGGGACACACTAAACAGAGTAACCAAGACTTTCTAGCATACACCACAGCTCAGTACATTTGCTCCCATACATAAATTCTAATTAAAAGACAGTGAGGGAAGGGTGAATCAATGATATTTTCCCATTCAAAAATATCTCAGTCCCACTGTCTTGCTGTGTCACCAGATCCTCCACAACTTACCTCCTTCCTCTGAAGTCCTTCTCCAACTCACACTAGTCTATTTCTAACATGCACTTTCATGGAAGATAATTTCCTAAATCAAAAAGAGAGTCAACTATCAGCACTGAATTCAGTAGTGGTACTCAGTGAATACAGGAAACTGCAAGGCTAAACATTCATTTGAAATTATTTATGTAATATACTTCCCCATTTAAAAGAGAATTTAAGCAATAATTAACTTTTGGCATTTTCACCCCCTTTGAAGTGTAGAACTCTGCCTTCCTACCGGGAACCTTACCACTGATCTGCTGATTACCAGTATCTTCCTTGCAGCAGGAAATATATGATTAGCAATCAGTACCAGACTCTCTGAAGCTTGTGAAGTCAGCATTATGAAGAGAGACAGTTAGGAGAGCCAAAATTTGTTAAAATTTTGCGATGAAAACAATCATTCATTGATGCCAACCTATCCACCTTTACAAACTCAAAATTGTAACATACCCTTTGATAGAATGAGGCATAAAAATTCCTTCCAAAAGGCATATGCTAGTAACAGATCAAAAAACGTGTCTGACTTATTTCACTGGCACGAGCTGTTGTTTTATCCAAAGGCTGGGAGCCACACAGAGGGACACAAGCACTGTCTGATCTTCAGGTCCAAAATGGTTCCATCTTCATGTCATCCCAATGCCTCTGCATCTCTCTGCATCAGTTTCTCTGTGCCTTAACTGAATCAAGACCCCAGTTACTGTTTGAAAGAGGAAGCATGCTGTGATCAGCACTGTGTGGAAAGTTTTTGCTGACAAGACCAAGCCCAGGTTGGCTCTTTCCAGAGGCTTCTCCAATCACACAGCAGTCTCAAGGACCAGCCCTCCTGGCACAGTTCTTCCTCTTTGTCCCTGCTGTTTCACTTCTCATTTCCTCTTGCGCCCTTCCTCAAAATGTTCCCAGCCTTTTGCTAACTTACAGTCCCCATTTTCGCGCAGCTCCCCTGCACCCTGGTTTTGTCCCTCCAGCTTCCTCTAGAACTGTCTCAGTGACCCAATTTATTCCTTGTACAGCAGCCTGCCAAAAATTCATCTCTCCCAGAAAGGGTGGTCTTAAGGAAGCGAAAATGCCGAGGCTCCTGACTACTCAGCAACTGTGGTGACTGTGGCCTCTACAGGCACAAGGCAGAACACACAGTTCCTGCACAAAAACCGACAGTTGGGGGAGATGGGATACCAGAGACTTGTGGATGTTACAAATTCCACTTTAAGATCATGATCTTCCAGGATACCAACTTCCCAACAGAAAAGCTCTTTTTACACTAGTTCCACTTAAATCTGTCTAAACAAGGGTTGCACAAGTCAAAACCCTTCTTTAATTTTGTAGGTGGAGAGCATGCACATGTGCATATGCTTCCATATGCCATTAGTAAGTCTCAACAGAAACTAACCACATTTGGTTTTGTTCTAGGCTGATTTCTTTCTGGCACAGCTCTGCACGACTAGAGTTACACTGACAGTGTACAGTCTGGACAGCAAAGAGCAATGAATATCTCACTCTCCCCTAAGACTTTCAAACTGTTATCTTACCATATACCACACGTCACACAGAAATGTCAAAAAACCTTGCTGAATGGCAGCTACAGTTATAGTGCTAAGCCTTTGGGCTTGTGCTGATGGAGTACCACTGCATGCACCCAAGTATTACAGTGTGCAGCCATATAAACACAACCCTCAACAAACACAAGCAAAATACACTGAAAAGTATAAATGGTAGTATAAAATGTGTTTGAACAAACCTTATTATGAGCAAGGGAGTCTTTACCAGTCTTTTACACTTCACAATTATGGATCCCTCTCCCCACTGAACTCAAGGCAGAAGTCAGCTTAGACTCTTTTCTCTTTACACACCTATGATTTAACTGGAGATTATCCAGGCAGAAGTCTCTACAGAGAAAACAATGTAACATGATGATGTTCTCTGTCTACCAAACTGAAAAATGAAAAAAAGATCCCACAAACAGGGTCAAAATTGTTGCCAGTGTTTACTCTGTACTAATAAAAATTCACCTGTTATCTGAACATACAAAAAAAGAATGCACCAAGTCTGAACAGTAATTGCAAGCCAGAAACTTCATGATTCTATTACAATATGTTATATATTCTACTAACAGACAAAACATTTTCTATCTGTGATGCAAAAGTGACTTCAAAGTGTGCCAGCCATACTAACTCATAAGACTCAAAATGCAAAATAGGTTACACAACTATCAATTCTTCATGATTGAAAGGGACTATAATGTTTTGGCAAACTGGCTGCATCTCAATGCTCTACATGATGCAAAATTCCCCTCCTGAAAACCCTAGATAGTGCAAGCTGAAAATTGTGTCCAACAGCACTAGAAAGTACTCTTTCAAATCTTCACCCTAACTTATGGCTAATAATCGTATATAGCAATCAGTGTTGTGCTGGAATAAACTAAGTTTCACTTCAGCTTAAACCCTGAGGCAGTTAAAACCCCACTGATTCATGCAGCCCAACAAAGCACAGGAGTCAGTCAGAAACAAGGATAAGCCTTACCCCGTCACCTGACTTTTAACTCACCAAGCTCTTAAAAAGAAGTATGAATTTAATGCAGTAACAAACAGGAAGGTCACAGACATAACTAGTAAATGCTTATAACAGAACAACATGACGTTATTTCAGTTAACTTGCAAAATGTTCTGTTAGAAGCTTAACAACAAGGAGCCTTTTTTCTCATGTGGTTGCATTTTAGATCTTAAACCAAGAAACAATAATCAGAAAATTTAATGCTTAACAAAGTTAATTAGTCCGATAACCCTATACAGATACACTGTTGAATGCCATATTTCATAGAGTGTAAATCTTCTACCCTAACTTCTCTTCACAGAAGCAAAGGGGAAATGACAGTTCACAAGGTTTCACAGAGAGAATACTACAGAGCATTTTGGCTTTACTCAGTTTTGGAAAAATCTCACTATACAGGTTTATGTGAGCCATTAGATAGTATCAGTGTGCACTGTGGAACAAATTAACTGATTCTCCATTAAGTTAACTGTAGTTTAAATTAGAGATGGAAGAAATCCTTTTCTGCTTACTCCTTAAGCTTTCTCCTCTTCATTCCCACCTTTGTATTTCTCTGTGAACATAGCTAGTGGATTTAGAGGCAGGATTTAAAATTGTTAGCCTGCAAAATAAAACACAAACTCAACCAGACCACTAGCAATCCTGGTTTAGATGTGTAAGGCTGCACATAACCCTTATGCTGTCAGAAAAACACTTATCTCTGCAGTTTGTGCAGGTACAAAAATCATTTAACAGGACACAAGCATGCTTCTCCCAATCCTGCTAACTCTGAATATACAGATGATGTAAATAGCTGGCATATGGACTGTGTCTCTTCCAGTTTCACAGTTTGTTTGGCAGAAAGTTTATGACTCTTTGTCCTGAAGCTAACAGTTCCTCAGGATTCTGGCTAACTGCCTTAAAACAGGTAGTGTGGTGAATTGCATTTGAATGAGATGTGCTGATAAAAGGTTGTATTTTAAAAGCCTCAATGTTGCTGTGAAGGGGGAGGGTCTGTAGGTATTGGGAATATAAACTTTCTTCTTAAAGTATATGCTGGCTGGGGCATCTGCTTCTTTGTCCCCAAGCGGTCAACACGTCTGCCCACATCTTCATTAACTTCTGTAAGAATCGACAAAATATCTTCACCCCTATGGCCAGAAAGAGAGCAAAAATTTAAAAATTACTTCTTAATGAGCAGATAGCACTCCATTTAACACCTCCCAAAGTATCTAGAAGATACAGTATAAACATTTAAAACACAAAAAAGAAAACACATCCTTCTCCCCAAATTTCTCCTCTTTTGTTCTCATTTGAGTCACATTAAAAAAAAAAGACCATTTCTTACTCTGTCTTGCTTGATCCAACTAGTAAAGGAAATCAATGGAATAAAATATTTTTACCTAAATCGACTTGAGAAGGAGATGGTTCTGCCTTAAAGAATACAGACGGTAGGTTTTGAGGTTTTTACAATAAACTTCACATTCTCCTGATTACCTCTATGGTACTAGCAGTGCTAATGTGTGTTAATGAAGATACTCCCATTTTTCCATGGAAGAGCTAAGCAAAGTATTTACCTTGGTACCAACAACTGTAATTTGCTGCACAGGGCTTGAATATACCAAGCACCCTGTTGAATGTGCCGGAAAGAGACATATCCATCAATTGTGGCCATGCCTAGGAGGAAATCAGCCTCTTCAGGAATACTTTCAGAAGCAGAAATGCTTTGTTGCATGGAAGACAAGTCAGGAATTCGTGCATCAGCTTCAACATAGACAGGACACTGTATCTCTTTACCCTGACACGCTTGGATAAAAAAGAGTTTGGGTTTGTCAGCCAGCTGTGGACATTGTTTGGCAGTGAAGTGGGACATGATCATGCGGATTGATACAAGTTCCTCATCTTTCCCATAGATTGCTCCTGACTCTCCATGAGATAGAATACAACATATAAAACAGTCCCTGTCTTTGTGATCTTGCAAACGCTGCCAAGTTAGCATGAGATCTTTAATCTCCTGAGACGTCAGATCTGTGTAAGTCCTCACATCCAGACCAAGCCATGTGAATACTCGCTCTAGTTCCCCTGTAATTAAAAAAAAAGATAAAAGTAAAAATTGAGGAGTAGAAAACCATTTTATGAAGTCACCCCTCAAACTAATCTGAACCGGGAAAGACCTTACACCCTGACACTTCTGCAGATTCATCCTTATGAATGCTTCAACTGGGGCTCAACTTAAACGCCTCTATGCAAATGCGCGTAGCACAGGGAATAAACAAGAGGAGCTAAAGACATGCACACGCCCGAAGGGCTACAGTCTTATTGGCATCATGGAGATGTAGTGGGATGGCTCCTATCACTGGCATGTTGGAATGGAAGGAGACAGGCTCTTTAGGAAGGACAGGTAAGGGAGACGAGGAGCAGGGGATTGCCTTCTACTTTAATGACCAGCAGAGGAGAGCAAGGAGCCCTGCCTGGGGATGGATGAGGAGCTGACCAAGAGATTATGGGTCAGGATAACTCAGTGGTTACTCATCCTTTAACCCTTCCTTCCCTAGGACACACAAATGACATAATTTAAACATGTATCAAACATTTTACTCCTTAAGAATATTAACTAAAATATAGACAATAAAATATAGAGCTATACTAGATAATCAACTCACATGGGGAAACAGAGAGACTAATCCTCCAAAAATCTCATTTTAGTAACTTACCAGCATCTTTGCCAGAACCCTTCCTCTCCTGAAGAGACTTATCGAAGTTAACATTATTAATAACAAGACAAAATCCTCTGTGTGGTCCATCCATTCTGTAGCTTGTCATCCTCTGTAGAAAGGAGAGGAAAAAAAAGCTTACAGCCTCAAAGAATTTCTTCAAGTTACTCATAATTCCTTAACATGTCTCAAAATTGGCATCAAAAAACTAGAGGCACCTACGACTGAGTTCCTTCTGAAAAGCTGGAACTCAGTGGTGCCTCCTTGTCTGAAAAGACTTGGAAGAAGCCTCAAGCACACTCTGTCACTGTACTATGAAACTGTAGAGAAAAGGTTTAGCAGCTGGGCTGGTCATCTGTATGCAAAAGGGAGGATTCAGCAGCCAAACTCTGCAATCTGAATTGACGATGGCGATAGAAGTTCCCTAATGTTTCCAGTGTCATGACAATATTTTAACTTTAGATTACAGAGGGTTCACAGTGAAACTATAGGATGTTAGACATCTGACATTTTTTTTGAGAGCAGTAATGAATCCCTGGAGCAGGTGGTTCATACTGATCCACTGGAAAGGGATGCAAGCAGAACCGAGACCTCAGAAGTGCATAAATCTGCCACACTACCAACTTTGCTAAGACTTAAAAGTTATCTCCCACTCTTAAGAAAGAACATTTTAAGAACCAAAGAGTCACCAAAACTTCAAGTACCATCTCTTCGAGTCCAACCTCAGGTTAAAATCAAAACCTCCCAACGCTCCAGTTCCTTTCTGTTCACTAGAGAGAGCAACAAACATCTGCTTTTGTGCATTTTATTAGAACAGAATGAAGGCAGCACTCCAAGCTCCTTCCACAGCAGCAGGAAGTACTTTTGCTACAGCACTCTGAACATCAGGTGATGAAAAAATACATTATAGAACTTCAAGAAATTAAATACTTATAAATAAACGCAGTAACTTGCTCCCTCAATATCCACGCTCATCAGAAGGCAAAAGCCAGAGGGAGAACTCAGTGGTTACACTACTGTACAAGCTTAAAAGTGCACATAAGGCTTCTAAGAAGGGATCTCACAAAAGTAATCTTCTATCCTGTACCAAAACCTCTAGTTTATTGAGGAAGATTGTTACATGCTTGCAGCAGCTTACTAAAAACTCTTGCCTTCTTTTATCCTTCTCACAAGGTCTTTGTATGGTACCCTTTATTGCTTTTTATTTCAAGATGCCCTGAAGCTTCTAAGCCAGATCCAGAAAGAGAAAACTGTGAAGCTATGTTTGTATCCGTGTCTTGCACATTCTGCTGCCATCTCCAAAATGAACAACTTAAGAAAATGCCAAATGTTTTGCCTGGAACAGGAAGACAAGCAGACGCACCGATGTGTGGATAACATCAAAGCTATCATGCCTGTTTTGACTCCACCACACCTTTCAATATTAAGGTTCTGGCCTCCAAGGTTAAAATAGTCTCTGAAACATTGCAGTTGATCAGATACATCAAAAAAACTTAATGAGACACATAAGTACTTGCATGATAAATGTCATTACAGGGATGAAGACCTCACAGACTCAGGTATTCAAAAAGAAGGATTTCAGAGATTGTCTCAAACCTTGGATTCATTTTCTACGCTGTTGAATTCTCCAGGCAGCACCAGGTTCATTTCGGAGAAGCCTTGCGTAAGATTAGCTGCTTTGTTATCTAGGAAGAAAACCCAGCATAGATATTTATGAAGAGAAATCCAATATTGGTGGAGGTAGCAAAAAGGAGTTTTGTTGCAATACAGCACTTTTTGTATTTGAAATTCTGTTTCATTGAAAGGAATAATTCCTCTGTATGAGATAGTACCGTTGTGTTCAAATGATGTATTCCAAACATGTCTCCAGTTATTTTTACTATATATACTTCTGTGACAAAGACAAGGTTTCTGTTTTTATTGGTATTGTAGAACAAATATATCCATGGTACAAGGATAGATTCTACTTGAGACATTCAAATGAATTTTTCATTTGGAGATCATCTTAGAAATAATCAGTACTGTAAGAAGGATCTGCAGTGTTACTACTGAAGCTCCCATTGCAGATTTTTCTTTTGTTTGTTTCTGAATCACTGTAATAACTCTCAAACTGACCTTCAGAGCAAGGCTGCATTGACAGAGATTGAAAGTGGAAAAAAGCTGACAGATGTTGTATTGCTATACTTTGCAACTGGTCTACTTGACGTGGAGTCACAAAGATGGATGCAAACTACCCACTGTTATTTGTACAGAGTTTTTTCAGAGATCTGAACCAAAACGTAACTTTATTTACTGCTGTTTTATTTATTTCTACTTCTGAACTACTTAAACCGCTTGTCTTCTTATATACAATTCATACACTATTTAAAGCATTCAAAACATCCATCTCTACCATACAACACTCCCAGGCTCCTCAACTTAACAATCTGCACAGCAAAAGAAGTCAGAGGTAAAATCCTGCACCCAAAAAAATAATATCTCAGTTTTATAAACATAGAGTCCAATTCTCTTGTTCTCCCAGTGATATTTATACAGAAATCTTGGTTTTCATTTTCAGGAAAGAAATAATCTTTTTGCTTCTAATCAGACCAGTCCTTATTTCACTTCCTGGAAAGGACACTGGTTAGGTTCTAGTAAACGACTGACAAAACACACAGGATTTGCCAACTTCCCCTGGCCTCTTTTACAGAATAACAGAAATCCTTCAAATCTATTTATGCAGAAAGCAAAAGACCTTTCCAAGAACACAGCAAGGTAAGTGTGTTGCATTAAAGCAAAATCTAGAAATTTCCCAGAGAAAGTAAAGGAATGCAACATTAAACATAAAAGTAATAAAAGCCAAACGTATTTCCAGAAATTCTTACCATTGATATTAGAAACGACAGATTTGATTGAGGTCTCCTATTTTTTGAGTAGGGGAAATACCGTGTTAAAAATCATTATTATATATAATATGTTTTCATACCAATTTTAGCAAAATAGGCTTAATACAAAGCTCTAAGTCATGAGTAGGAAAAATACTGAATTCCTAAGAGCAGCAAAGCATTTAACAAAGAAATTACAAAAGACTTCCCCACTTACAGCAAATCTCACAGAGCTGGAAACAACTATATTTTCTCTTCAGGACAAAAGGAAACAGCAAAGAATTTTCTTTTACTTCCAAACAATCCTCTCATTGTAGGGGTAAGCAGTCATTATAAACAATATAAAGGTCCCAACATAGTCCCATGTCAATTCTCTTCAACCGTCAATTATTTGAGTATAAATCGTTGTAACTAGTGATTCTAGTCCTGCCTAAGAGACACCTTCTAGCATTAAGTGTGATGGTTTATTATATGTCATGGAAAAAGTGTATAACCTCTCACAATTTTAAAGAAAAATCAAACATGACCATCAGGATTACGGAAGCAGTCTCTTAGTGTTTTTTAAAAATTCTTGTAAATCTATATTTTCTTAATTAAACTACATTTACTTTCTTACTGTGCCAAGTGCCACGCATGAAGGCTTCGCCAAACCCTCTGCACATACAGAGCAAATACAGCTCGAATCAGCAGTAACGCAAACACTTCTGATACTAAGCAGCATATTTTCCTCAGCTCTTGTCTACTAGAACTTCACTTCTGGGAAGTATCCTTAGTAAGATCACTGTTTTCCTCATTAAAACTTTCTCCCTTCCTCTTCTCTTCCCCAAAGAAGAGATCAGTTATAGCTCTGGTAAATTTCCCAATCTGACTGATCAAGCAAGGACTGGTACCTTATAAAAATGGGACCACCTCTTTCAGCAGTGGCAGAACTGATCATCAAAGTACAGTGTTAGCCTTTAGAGACAGTTTAGTGTTGATCAGCTGAAACTGTAAAAATCGGCACCAAGTCATTGACCCATTCTCTAGAAGGCACCTGTCTAGCTCTTTCACTCACTCATGTCTCTTCTTAACATTAATTTTTCCTCCCAAATGCACATGACCAATAGTAGTATTTCTGACTTCCAATATTTGATACTATATGCAGCTGTATTTTTTTACATGTTGAACAAATATGCTTGTTCCCTTCCTAAACCAAGTAAGAAGATTTGGCAAAAAAAAATCTCACAGCCAGTACAGTTTAAAAATAAAGACAAGAAAAAAAACCCAACCCCCCTAAACCACTAAAACCCAAGTTGACAGTATGTACCCCAGTGTACCTGTGGCAAAGTGAATACTCTGATGTTTCCAGTGTGAGACAGTGAAGATTCCTTGACTGGCAGCGTGTTCTCCTGCTGAGGCAGAGACACTAAGAGCAGAAAGAGACAAAATGAGAGAAGTCAAGTGCCTTTTAGTTAAATCAGTATGAATCTGCACATTAGGCAAATGCACTGAAAGATACATTAAAATAGAAATCAACTTTGAAATACACTCAGAAAGCATGGGGGAGTGGAACTCATGAAAGGCCAAATGCCCTTGCCCCTACTGGGTGCAAACATAGCTTCCCAGAATTTGTTTCCTAGTGCTTAAATAAATGGAAATAGAACTTCTTCACCAGGACGCTTATAGTCACTCCACAGGACATTAAATGAAGGTATATTAAAAACTGCAGTATAACCCTTGATAACGTGAATCACACATTTAATAATAAAGCCTACCATGTATCAGACACACATGCACACACAGTTTGCCTTGCCAGCTTATTAGTAGGCAACTGCCTTGTTGTAGTGTACGTTCATATACCAAAAAGTGCCTTTTACAGGACACATCATCATCTCAGTACTATTCATGCAGCAATGGAGGAGTGTGATATAACTATAAATAGATTTTCAGTTTCCCAGCCTGTTCTGTATGTGCTGGACTGCTCTATGTGGCCTCAGATATTCCAGCATGTCCCTGCTGGAATTCAGCTAGGAAGTAATGCAAGCTAGGGACTGTTATGCCAAATTTGTGTGTAAAGATGAGCAATCCCACTCTAGCTCCTGTTCTAGCAGTACACACATAGGACCTCAAGGTTCATTTGCCCAGACCCTTCTCATGCTTCCTGCATTTTAGCAAACTTACTCCCTGACTCTGAATTTCTCACCTTTTTCCCTTTTGTAACAGTTTACTGTGTCCAGGAGATCAGGCGAAACATTCATACAGATTTTCTCCAGCATCTGTACATTGTTTTCAGTTAAAAGGCCCTGTTTTTCCAGTAAAATCAGCAACTCTAGAGTAGACTGACAGCCAAAATGAGAGAGTAAAATATAGTTATTACTCCTTAGAACTCCAAACCTGCCTCAGCCCTGTCTGTCTCAAACAATCACATTATTATCTGCTTTGCTTCCTACCAACATGGTCCAAACAAGTCAATTTTACATCACTGTGGGAGACGGAAATGTTGCTCCATGGCAAGATACTGGTTGCATTATTATTTGGTATGGTCTTGTTTAAACAGATTCACCCAAACCATATTAATGACTCCTGGCTTCGAGAAGGCTTTACTGCTGTGAAATGGTATCAATGACATATGAACACGAATCTTCTTTGCACATAGCTCAAGGAAGGTGAAGATTTGATTTGTCACCCCTTTATGATCTAATGCAAGACTGTGGACTGTCAGTGACTGACTCTGGCACAAAGCACCAAATTCTACACTTAAGTCTCAACAGCTTTCTCCCTGCTAACCCTATAAATACTGACCAGTCTAGTTGCAGATTATGCCCTATTCTGCCAAATACTTTTCATGCTTTTTCTCTAATTTTCCCCACTCCTTCTTCCCTTCCCACCATAATCACATTTGGCTCTCTCCTCACATACAAGAATTATCCGCCGCTTTGGAAGACAGTTTTTCAGGAGGAATATGATATCCTTCAACATCTCATTGGTAATGTTCTCTGACAATTCATACAGCATCTGCCTGTAACAGAGATCCAGTGAGATAAAAGCAGAACAGAAGATGGTGTAGAAATGAATTTAAAAATGGAAAGGCAAACAGTACAGCATAGATGGCAATATTGGAGAGGACAGAATCCCACCACAATCTTACCTGTACGGAGACACTCTTCCCTTCTTATGCAGACATTCTTGCACTTTCTCCTTGGTGTAACCAAGTTTCTTAAGCAAGGAGTGACATTTAATTCTGTATAAGAGTTCAGCTAGTATGAAAGTATCTTCCTCATTCAGATATTCTTCAGCCATGAGAAGCTGAAAGATGTCCACTGCTGACTTCACCCCTTCTAGTTTTCTGAAGGGGAGCAAGTCAGTACAGAGAAATTTTAAAGCTGCTACATCTTCAGCCACCAGATTTTCATCAATGAGCAGAAGCTGCTGGCGGAACTTCAAGCTGGCACCATCCTCCATGTTGCTGGAACCACCAGTCTCTCTGCCTGAAAGTATGAAGCAAACAGTAGTAACACTTGAATGTTCAGTACAACAATCCTTGTAATAAGATTTCATCCAACAGCTGTTTGGAAGCCCTGAATTCTCTGCAGAAGAAGAGTTTCATTTTAAACAAATTTGAAACTTCCTTATCCAAACAAAAGACTACAACAAAGCCCAGATTCGGCAGAAGCTCTCAACAACCGGGTCTAAATTTGAAGTTAGCCCTGCTCTGAGCAGAAAACTGAGCTAGATGACCTCAAGAGGTCCCTAAATTCTGCTTTCTTTCAAACATATTCCACGTTCAGATCTTTGCTTCTCTCCACTGTAGGTGGGAAGAGTCCCTGCAGTAACTTACTACAACTCTCAGTGGAGAGAGCACAGTGGTTCACACATATTCTTTGATCTGCAGTCTAAGGGCTCATCCTTCTCTGGCTGTAGCAGGGAGGTGTTACTCTGTTACAAGCCTGACTCAAGCTGAGGCTGGAATATCCATCCATGTCCAGTCACATCTTGCTACCAGATTCTGTTTTAACATTTGGCATAGGAAAATCCTGAAGTCTCCCTTATAAGTAAATGCCAATTAAAATGTAATAGCACTCAGTCTAAATAGGCTCTGCACAAGCAACTCAATCTTATTGAAATTTAATAGAGACTAATCACCCTTCCATGATACCAACTTCTTCCATGTAGCCTAGGCAGCTCTTTTCTGCCAGTGGAAAGTTAAGTAGATAAAAAGGTGCTTCAGTGCCTTCTGCCCAAATGGGCAGGTAGGTCTTTAGTCTTTTGTTTAGAGCAGCTGGAAGTAGTAAAGCTTTCTACATGAAGGAGCACAAAAAAAAACCCCAAATCAAGCCCCAAAAACTCCCAAGGAAGGAGAGTAGGGACAGAACCTCTGAATCCAAACCCTTTGAAGCATCTGGGAGGACAGCTCAGCAGATAAACCACAGAGAATATCATAGCACATGGGGACACAGAGAAGAAACTGTTGCATTCTTGTGTTCAGGGGTAGACAGAAAATAAAATCCCCAAGTCCAGATGTCCAGTTAGGAAACAAGGTTTGACAGAACGCAGGAATCCTGAATTGTGTCCTGTACCAGTCAAAGGCTGTGCAACAAAACAGATCAGATTGCTTTTTCCTGTATTCAGACTTACTCTCTCATAGCTCAACAACTGTTCTTCACATTCCTTCTCTCCTCGTATTAAATCCCATGGGACACTCTCTTCACTTAAGCAGCTATCAAAAAGGTTCAGATCTCAACCTGTTACCTACACACAGAAACTATATCACTTCACAGTAAATCAGACTTTAAATTAATTTAGCTAAAACCTACTTTAAAACCCTATCTAGATGCTTTCATCAACTAAATTTAACAGAGTACCTTAGGTTAAACTGACAGTCTATATAATCCAGGTTCAAACTGAATTACAATTAAAAATTTAGAGATGATGACTTCAATGAAATGAGTTTAAAAGATAATTTCTTTAAGAGAACAGGGGCAAGGTGTGTGTATACCAGGTGTTACATAGTAATTTCATCAGTCAATGAAACTAAAGTAAGATCCAGCATAAATTCCTGTTTCCAGGTTTCCAAGTCTGTGTTGCTGCCATTCTTGGAAAGCTTTTTTCACTCCAAACACCTCCTGCTTGAGATTGGAATAACCACAAGACCTCTCAACACATGCTGCATTTACTAGGTGTCTGTACCTTCTTTTCCCCTGCTCTGTAGTGAGGAAATACTGATAGCTCACTGCCTGCTCAACCACTGCTCAGTTTACTGCTACGGTGTTTTTAGAACCCTCTACCACTTCATGCATTTTACAGGCCCTATATAAAACATCACAATAAGAGACAGAGTCCTAAAGCAAAGATGGAAAATGAGCAAACAATCCCTATTCCGGTAAAACAAAATGATGCTCACCACTCAGAACTAACATACCCGAGGCCCAGGACATACTGGCTCCCCAGGTTTGCCACAGCTCACTCTAACATTTACGGCTGGAGCTAGCAGGACATTAGCATGCAGAACAACGACACACAGAAAAGTGACAAATCAGCATCTCTAATTCATGTTTTGCGACATACCTTTAGAGGAGAACAATTACATAAAAATAATTAAAAAAAAAAAAAAACAATGAGGATTATCAAATTACTACATTTTCGTGTTAAAGTTTTATTGATTGGAGCACTGCCAGACTAAAATATTTCAGAATAATGCAAAAACATGGAGCATGGTGGAATGCCGAGGCTCAGCCCACAGCCCCAGGAGCGAGGAGAATGTTCAGCTCCGGCCTCCCCGAGCAGCCCGCACAATACCGGAAGGAAGGAGCGGGACCGAAACTCCTGGCCCAGTAGCTGAGCCCTTCCAGCGTTCCCTCGGCACTTCGGCCCCCGTTCTTACCTCTTACACGAACTCCGACGCCGTCCCCTCTCCCGGCAGCTGCTCGGAGGGCGGCGCTCAGCACGTCCCGGCCCATCTCCGGCCGCCCCGAGCCTCAGTGCTGAGTCACGGCCGCCGCGCTGCCATTGCGGGGCCGCGTCCCCTGGAGCGGGACGAAGTCGATCTGGGGGAAGGAATTGGGGGCACGCCCGCGGAGCGCGACACCGCTGGCCGGGGAGCGGGGGGAGGGCGGGCTCCCGCGGGGATCGGCCGAGAACGGGCCAGCGGACTCGCGGGGCCGCCCTTCTGCGGCCGAGCCCGGGCCGGGGCCCTCCCAGCACTCGGCCTCGGGGCTGGTGAAGCTCCTCCGCGTCGCCCCGGCCGAGGAACGTCGCTAGGCCGTCAGCAAAAAGCAACGGACAGCGCTTCCCGGACTAAGTACAAGAGGGGAACTGTAACTCTCTTCGCGTTTGCCCTCAAGCCATTTTAAAGCAGGCTACATCGCAAAAAAGCCCCAAACATTTTTGGCAAATTTTCTTTTCACTAGCAAGAAGCTTGAGAGTAGTGCTTGTGGGCGAGGGCTTCAATGCCATTTTTATGTGGGTCTGTTCCCTCCCCATCCCTGCTGCAGTAAGGGGAGGAGGAGGAAGGTGAGCAGGCCCTACGCTGTGCAGGCTCCTCATGGCTTTCAGCATCTCTGGTGACACCTGTATTCTCACACACTCTTGAGTCAATGAAGCCAGAATGGGGAGAAGCTCCTTGCTCATGCCAAAGAGCTGCTGTCTAACACACCAACAATGGCCAAGTTATCTGTTGGAACAGAAAGGTTCACTGTCCTTTATTCAGCCAGGTCACTTTTATCGAGCTGTAGAACATCACAGCCACATTTAACAAGCCGCAGAGGTCTAACAAGATGATTCAATCATGAATTTCAAGAGTTACTCTGTGGTCTAGAGGGAGACAGAGACAATCAGTCTGACCGCATGCAGATATTCTCTTCAGAAAATCAGCTTGAATTCCAGCATTTATAATTTAGTAGTAATAGTGATTTAATAGTAGAAGTAACAGCACCAGTTTTGCTAAATCATGATGCTGTTTTAGTAATGGCACCGATTCAAATCACATTTCTTCGATGCTTCTACAAAACACTAACAATACGCTGAGTAACACAAACTTTAAAATATGGCATGTACAGAAAGGCACAATCCACAAAAACAAAATTCCTAAAAGACTTCCAATGTCTTACTGATTCTAACACAGAAGCTGAAAAAAAGACAATTCTTAAAAACAGCCACAGAAAAGCTGTCAAATAATTCAGTACAGGAGATATATTTTCAGTGGAACACAGATACACAGCAGATCATTCACACATATAGCAACTTCTTAGCAACATCATCCTGCATGTCAGAAATATAAAACTCTGGATATCAAAAAAAATCTCAGAAAATGTCATAAAAAGCTTCTGTGATTCGGATATCTGTAACAGGAGTCACTGTTACTTCTTATACAGAGTTGAAAGGGGAAATCACGACATACAACATGCTCCATCTACAACTTACCACTGTAACTTCCTCTTGAACGAACTTCTTTTCTGGATAATGAGTTGGCAACCATTATAAGACGCAAGTATGCAACAGTACAAAGTAAACTGAATTTATGACTCAGTCACATCAATGTAGGTGGTTGAGAAAAATCATGCAACTTAAGTCTGGTAGAAAACACCACAGAATCTCCTGCCTCCTGGGTACATCTGAACCACTGGAAGGCATCATCTGTATTCTGCCAATTCTCTTTTCCTTCTTCCATATATACAGCACACACAGAAGTAAAAGAAGTTTCTGTTTCAGTTATCAGAAAGCAAAAATGAAATTCAGTGCCATGGAGCAGTGAGTCTGACAGCCTTGTTCCAAGCACTGACAATGCAAGAGCAGAAGAGTAGCAGATTGCTTTATCTTGTTCAACAGCAGATAATCAGACATTTTGGCAGTCCATGACCAAATTTCACCAGCATGTCATTTTTTATGTTCCTGTGCTAACATGCTGAACCCACGATGGATCCAGAATTAATTCTTTTCCTCTTTTTCTTTTGGCTACTGAATGGAAGTTTGGTATCATTCAATCACTTCATCTGCAATACCTGTACAACTTGACACAACCAATGCCTGCCATCTGGTCACTCTCCAGACTCAAATTTAGGTGCACAGTATAGCAAGAACAGATGGTCACCATCATGTGTATAGAGGGACACAAAAAGCTATGGAAGAAGTGATAGACAAGTGGCATCACAAAATTTCTGCATGTTATTAAATACTGACTTCAGCGCTACTTTTCACCATGCAGCAAGTACAGGGATTCAATCTACCCACATGCCACTCCTGAAAGAAGTCTCAAGGCAATAAATTCTGCTTAGATGAATGATTACAGAGTAAGTACTGCTTTGTTTAAGAACTTACTGACAGTCAATAAATCAGTGTAGAAAATCTGTACCTGACATCTACGAATCCTGCACAATACATCACATGTCCCCACGACTCTTTGGCCATTAGAAGGCTGTGACCACTTCCAACTCACGCAGCCAGACACAACAAGACTCCCTTCCTTTTTCACTGCAAGGGTTATTTACAGGAGCCTCTAATTTTCAAAACAGCCTTTCTTCATAAGTTCTTACAGAAAGGGGCATGGACTTTACTGTGTCACACACTAAGGTGAACAACATGTACACTTCATAACTCCCAGACCAAACCTAGATTGTCACAAACGTATGAGAAACAGAGTATGTTCTATTGATAATATTTTAAGTAAGTAGTTGTATTTAGCATCACTCAAAAAACCCCAAACCAACCAACCCACAAAACCCCACATCATTAGATCCTGTAAGGATAGCCACTATTATTCTTACTTTCTTTCTCCCTTTTCTCCTGTTTTCTTCTTTCTCATTCCAATATTGATGCTGTATTTCTCCTCCAAATCTTCTTTTCTCTACTTGTTCTTCTCTTGGTTCTCCCTACCACTCCCCATCTTGTTCATGCTTGAAATTTCTGTATTACTTTCCCTCATTTCTCTGCCTCCTCTTGGTTTCATTCTCCCTGCTTTTGGTCTATAAGGCAGCAGACATGCTCATCACATGCAAAAGCTAGTAAGGGAAATGGGAAAAAGTAAAGTTAATTTGTGAAAGAAATCACATTTAGCATCACATGGATATATACGATAGCTAGGAATCACATCTTATTTCTACAACCACAGAAAACTTGTTTCACCGTTTGCTTCATTTACCAGCCACTACAGGAAGAAACTTCTAAGATTCCAAATCTGCCATTTTATAATCCTTTTCTTACCCCATGAAACATGAGGAAGGCAAAGTTTCAGAATTATACTTGTGCTTTATTATATTGTAAGACAGTCAGTTATTAAATATTCATGGTTAGAAATGAATGCTAATTTTATTACCTATCACATACAATGCAGACACTTCTGTTGATGCAATGCAGTAAGTTCTCTACTTGAGTGTGTGGAATACATATGAACATAATTAAGACACAAAGTATTTTTAAAGCCAGAACAATATGGCCCTAGTTTAAGAAAAGGATCGGTTCAATAAGCCCTTTCCTTAGAGAACAGTAAACTGAAAGGAAGACCTGCCCCCTCTGCAATGCATTTATTTCCATGCCTACAACATCATGAAACTAGATTTAGTATTTAATGCTCACAGAGAACAAGCTTTTTAGAGAATGTCTGAATTTTGCAAAAAAATATTTTTTACTTTTCCTCTTATGCCTGTGCCCACATAAAATTACAGTAACACACAAATAACACGTGCCCATAGTTTAACATAAAATTCCGGGCTGCATTTCCCAACTCAAATCTATTAAAAAGATTCCACATACTTTATTAAAGAAGACACTGTAGCTCATAAAGTGGAAAGAGAAAAATATTGAATGCATAGGCTTGCAATACAGGTGAATTATTTTTCTGAATTGTGCAAAAAGTTCTTCTCATCACAACCATGTATGTAACATTCTAGAGTTAATGTGCAAATAAAACTGAATGCAAAATAAAGAAGATAATGAGTGAAGATTTAATCACAATAATATAAAAGGTACTTTATATATCATACAAAATGGTACATTAATATAAATAAATATATATTTTAATCTTAACATGTTCCATGGATAAAGGCCATAAGATAAAACTTGCTCAGTGTTTTTCTTTTCTTCATATACTCTTAACAATCCTCATCAATCAGCAGTTAAGGAACCTCTTAAATCAGGAAGAGACTGAGTCTACATCACAGTAAGGAAGGACTCCTGAGCGCTTTTAAGTCATCAATATCTACTTTTTGCCAAATAAATGTGATTTTTACTTTCAATTATAATTCAAAAATCTACTTGAAAATTCACTTTTTTCCAAATGGAACTGAAAAATCCTGGTTTAAAAAAAAAAAAGTCAAGCAAACACTTAAGTACTACAACATCATATCGAGGAATAAAAAACCCCTACCAGAGTACGTTTACTGGCCAAGCCCTCCTAATTATCATCAATATACTAATATATACTGATAGTATACCATATGTAGTATCAATACGCTAGCTGCCTGTTAGGCTTGGTCTACAATGAAAAGCATTGCTGGTGAAGTTATGTATGTAAGCACACCTGCTTTTTGCTCAAATCAAATGCAGCTACACTAGTAAAAAATCTTTTTGCAGTGCATTTGCTCAAGGAATTAGCATACCCTGCATTAGCAAAACCTCCTTTCCTTTCTGCTTGTGTGAAATAAAACATATGCCAGGATATATGGTGTAACTACACCAGAAACCAAGCAAGGTATGCTAACGCCTTGAATTTTTTCCTGGACAGGAGACTGTATGAGGAGTATTAAAAGTTAGCCAGTGGGCTACTTTAGGAGGGAAGAGAATGCCATAAATTCAGTGACAATAAATTCCAATACAACTTATCCAGGCTATACTGTTATGTAACAGGCAGATTAAGTGAACTCTTCATGTTAGGCATCTGCTCCACTGGACAGAAATTTCTGTATTTAGGACAATTTTCACTCATGTCTTTTTCAGAAGAACAAGGGCAACTTGTAAAAAAAAAATCCATTGATAACGACATTCTTTTTCTTAAGCAAAAGCAGTAACAGTGTGGTGTTTAATTTAATTCTGTCTTAAGAGACAGTGGTGGCTCATGACGTTTTGATTCAAATATGATAAAGTGTACTTTTACAACTATGCCTGGTACAACATGTGTGGATCATGTTTCATCTTCCACAAACATCTGTCAAAATCCCACATTTTTAAATTGTGTGGTAAGTTACTGTAAAGCCTTGCCACAGTGGAAAACACAGCCCAAACCATGGCAGAATGTCTCATTAATTAACATATAACCATTGTGTGCTGTTGACGGTACTGATGACACAGCGTTCTGGGTGAATCACCACCTCTAACGCAGCAGGCAGATGGAATCCAAATTATTTAAAAAGGCTATCTTTCTTCTTCTTTTTTGCTAGTCTGTGGAGATACACAAGCCAGAACTTGTTAATGAAAAACTGGCATTGCTTGGTTTTTCCATTATTAGGTGCTGGGGATAGTACCCAGTGAATTTCAGTGGTTTGCACTGGCTTGTATTGTTTTCAAGCATCAACAGAAGAACCTAAATCAGTGCACTGCTAATAGGTATGCTAAAAAACCAACCAATGAAACAATAAAAACACAAAACCCTGGAAAACCCAAGAGCTACACAGTCTGGAGCACTTTCCACCCTGTTTACCTGTTGTACTTGGTTGCAAGATCTGTTGCAGTGTTATGCAATAGCTGCCATTCTCATCCATGCTTTCGGATGTAAAATCTATAAGGAATTGACCTCAACACACCAAAATGCTTCTAAATCTCTGGGTTTGGAAGCAATAAGCACTTTAGATATACATGCAAGAACACTGCATAAAGTAAAAGTACGTGTGAAACTGTCTGCATGATAGTGTTTCTCATCAACCACTTCAGACATGTTTTTTCCAACAGCAATTAAGTGGGAGAAAGAAAAAGTTTCTTCCTCAGTGTGTGCTGAAGCAGAAGTGAGTATTGTTGGCTTGGGTCAGTGGTCTTATTCCATTCATAGACTTTTCTGTTCAATTCCGTATGGATATCTAAAATAGAGAGTTTCCTGCAACAACAAAAGTGAAAGTTTTCTATTAGAGAATAAAACAAGACACCATTTAAGAATCCACAAGAGAGGAGACACCCTTAGACTCAGCAAGGAGAAAGTTTCAAATTTCAGTCTTTGTTGCAGAGGTTACACCTCTAAAACCCAAGGCTGAATACGCATTTTGGAGATAATATGTTATAACCCAAATCACTGTTATAATACTGGTTATGCTGATATCATGATCTGTAATTTCATTACAAGGTTTTAGGGTTTGTAAAAAAGTACTAAAAGTTAACCCCGCAACCACCTTGAAAAAGTTGCTGGCTCCCTGGTAGATCAGTTGTACAAAGAAAACCTTTGTTGATAAGTTATATATCCAAACATACCTGATTTTTGCTCAGATTTCTTTTGATAATCTATTTGGATAGAATAAAGTTTCCATATAGTTTAAATTAAAGATTACAAATTGGCAAACTAGTGGCTCCCTGAACAGAGTGTTAGTTAGATCTAAAAAAAGGACAAAAACCTTTCCTCTCAACTGACTTTTCCCCAAACCTAGGCACCGACTTTTTATATTTGCAAGCAGAGCCCTTCTTAAGGATAAAAAGCAGTCCTCAATTTGACAGAAGCCTGGAGTGTGCCTTGTTATCTCGGAGAAGGAAGATTTCCAACCCTGTCTAAATCACTGACGTAACTATCCAGGACAGGTTCTTCCCTTCTCAGTCTGCAAGTCCCAGTGCCATAACACAATTTTACTCTCCAGAATCAGAAACTTCACTCCTACTTTACACTACCTTCCTATGCCATCAGTCCAGGATCAGGTATACTTGTCTTTTAACCTATGACACAGCATGAAGACACTTTACAGGACCAGAAAGGATGAAACTTAAAGTTTCTCTTTCTCTAGGCCAGCAGGTTGTCATAGGAAAAGGGTGACTTTTTTCCTATTTTTTATTTACCTTTTATGAGGATTGCGGAGTAGCTCAGCCAGACAACGCAGATAATATGAGGATGAACTTGGAGATTTTTCTAGTGCAGACACATCCACCTTGCACTGACTCCAAAAGATGTCTGCTACTTGGGGTATAGTGACTTTCCAAGGGATTTTTGCAGTAGCAATGATTTTCTCATCATTCCCATCTACTTCCAACAGACTAGTACATTCTTGCTCATTTTCTGGCACAATGTAGCTCTGAATAAAAAAAAGCTTTGGTTTTCCTAGGAGTTCAGGACATGAGTCCGCTGTAAAGTATTTCTTTATTTGTTCCAAAGGGAATCCGGAAAAGGTATGGTCTGTACAGAAGATGCTCTGAGGACTTCCACGGCTGACCAATATGCAAATGAAGCTGTCACAGTTTCTGTGCTGCTGCAACCTTGCAACTTCAAGCAATGTTTGATTCATAGTGTTGATACTTAAGTATCTGTGACAACAAACATCATAGCCCAAGCCTCTGAAGGTCTCTTCCAAAACATCTGAAAAAAGCAAGATGTGATTAAATCATAGCACACCAGGGCTCAATTTCAACTATCTTGAATTACATTATTTACAGTATTTTGCTACTGGAAATTAGACGCTTATTTCATCACAATACAAAATTGGGAGTACTTGGTGTTGATCACAGTATATTACATACTTATAGTGCTATATGCATGTTGTCTTTAATATAAGTTATTTACTTCATGATAGCAAAGACAGTATTATTTGTCACATGATCTGTTCCAAATTCCATGGGCATTTACATGCTTTCATTGAGAGCCAGTATCCCAAGTTCCTAGGACTTAAAATATCAGGCAAGGAAAAACATCAGAAAATGCTTAACACAGAACGTTCTTGAAATGGTAAGGAGAGATGTGGATAGCATGGGAAGTCTGTTTCACATTTCAACTTGTCAAAGTTACTCTGAATGGTTATTATAGATATACAGAACTGCGTAAGCAACACAGACTCCCTTTCATCAGTCAAAAAGGAACCTGCTGCAGTCATTTATGCTTCCTATTATATAAAACAGATTTTAAGTGATGAGTTCCAGGTGGAGAACGGACACTGAAGTCTTATCTGTGACAGATGGGCATTTTCAGGTTAAAAAAAAGCGCTGAACAATAAACCCTTTCAAATGTGTTACAAATTAAAACTGTAGATAGCAAAAACTAAGATTTAACTCTATTGTTCTATTGTATTTGTGTTAACCTGTGCTTTAGGAAAATGTGTTATGCTCTGAATAACTACTTTGGATGTTTATTAATATGGGAGTGAATCCAGATACATGGTGGTTAAAACCACGGATATTTTTAAAGTGTTCAGAGAACCACAAGCTACTACTATGACTCATAGCTGTAGCACCATATCTTTACTATAAACCACATATATATTGCCCATGCAGTTTCTGATATGACAGGAAATATCAAGTCTTATGTTTATGTAAAATACCTTATAGATACAGGAAGCTAGACTGTTCCTTGACTACAAAAGTTTAACAATCCCTATTTAGCACAGACCAATTCAGAGGTAACTGGCAGAAAAGCAGGAGTTGTACTGCCACACTGTTCTCCTAACAAAACCCATAGTGAGAACAGGGAACAGAACTCATAGCTTTCCTCAGCAAAATAACAGGGTAGATAGAAACTCTATACTACAGCAAGGTGATAAACAGGAACTAGAGTTTCATTCTAATTTTGTTGGTTTCACTACATTTTGTAAAATAATTCAAAACCTTTCCAGACATTTTAAAATTTGGAAATAGAAAGTAAAATCCCCTCAATTTTAGGCAATAAAACATGCTCTCAAAATTCAGGTGGAAGAATCAGCATTAATAACATTTAGCAGTTATATACTCAGTGAAGCATATCATCCATCAGAGGGCAGCAGTACATATGCAAAATGAGAGTTACAGCAAGGAGAGTGCTTTTCTGTAGTGTACCTGTCTCACTAGCACATACACATACACACAAAGATAGAAAAATTGGTGTCACCTTAAGACCATACACACACACTAAGTGTCACAATTGAAAAAAAAAAACCCAAAACCCAACAAATGTAGAGCTGATACCTTAGTTTAACAATGAATCAAAAATTATACATGGTAAGCTTTGGATACAGCAATTTTACTTTAAGACAACAGAAAATACAGCATTACATGCCACAACCTGAGATCAGAAAGCATGTTTCTTCAATAGTAATCATCTCCTAACAAACCTCCACTGACTTTTGAGCATTTCCACTCTACATAAAGAATTACCCTTTACTCCCTTTGTTTCCAACATAAGGATAAAAATTGGCTTCCAAATGGAAGAGACAAAAGCAGCTATTTACAGAACAGAAAGACTATTTACAAAACAGCAAGGCATGTTTCAGTTTGAGTTTTATCAGCAGCTGGTGAATTCACATTGTTTATACTGGGCATTTTCAACTGTTGCAAATCCTTGATCCTACAGTATCTATTATTGTTTCAGCTTCCTCAGACTAAATCTTGGGATAGTTACAGACTCTAGTGCATGCCACAGATGCAATTCCTTACATTCTCCCCAGCCTCTTCTCTTTTTTTGGTATTTTCAGACTTCAGAAGTAGTGTGGCACAACTCTAGAGTAGTGAATGCTTTTCTAATAAACTCCTTTAAGCAATGCCATATGCCCTGCCTCTCCTGAATCTCGCTGTATTATCTCACTCTCCTGAAACTCAATACAGTAACGTATTGCAGTGAAAGTCTTGCTTTCTATCATGTTAAAATGCTGCTGATGTACTGGTGACATAAAACATCGGAGTCATACAGATGACTTCTGCATCCAATGCATGGAGACTGAGGCACAGTAAGACTTGCTTTGAGTGGTTTTGGCACAACAGCAGCAGAGCCACAATTTGACGGTGTATTTGATATGCCAGATGTTAAACATGTAACTAATACTTGTCCTTTCCAATCAGCAGACTTATATCACATTTACACTTTCTGCTCATGTATAACTACTGAAATGACCATATGAGCTCATGAAGAGCACATGCATTGCTTTTTTTTTTAATTTTGTGCACATCTTTGTATTTAGCATCAATTACTATGACTAATGGGTCTACACAGTATATTGCCTGTGCAAAAGATCTGTGCCTTCTAAGGAAGAGTAAATCTAGATTTATGTATTTGTGACTATGAACTGACATAGCAGCTCTTTCTTTACTTCATTTTTTTTCTCCAGTGTACATGCCTTACCTGTTTTTACACTTACTGTTTCGTTTTAAAAACTCAGACCTGGCATAGTAAAACACTCTTGTTCATTTAATCAGGCCAGCACATGCTCATATCCCATTAGAGAGAATGAAATTTAAAGAGGTTTTTTTTGTAAACAAGGCATTTTCACACCTCATGTTTTCTTCAGCTATCCACACTGAAATTTCTCTAGCAATCCTTTTTGCATTTGTGTTTAAGAAACAGAACTCCAAGTAATTATCTTGGTACTGGAGCAGAACATCACGTTACCTTCCAGATTAAGGCTCCATAATATGCTTCTTGCATCAAAAGGGTTGTTTGCTCTCGAGAGCTACCATGAAAGAGAGGAACAGGCAAGCAAAGCAGCAGGCAACAGGACAGAGCAGAATGTTTGATCCCAAGAGCCACCACTGCCCTAGCCTTTGAGTCCTTGGCAGACTCTCTTAGTTTTATCTTCCTCTTGGGGCAGCATTTTTTTTTTTTTTTAGAGTAGAAGTGAAGAAGTGCTTTAGAGTGAACAATTTAATTTCTACATCCAGCAACTGCATCTTTGATTTTTTTTTTTTTTTTTTTTGGCCAGAGGTCATTGATGAACTTGGTAGGACAGACAGATCTCAGATCTCAATGCTTCCCAGCTGCATATAACTGAGTTAAGTGCCTGCCCTGTCCCTCTTCCCCATGCAGGGCAGGATTGTGATTCAGTTCTAGTTCCTGTTACCCTACTGGCAAACTAAGTGTCTTCTTTTATATCATTTACCTAAAATACTACTGTCAAGCAAACACAAAAATTTGACTTTCTCTGTCTGTGCTCTGCATCCACTGCTCTTCAACAACTACCTCAATAATTCTATGTTGGTCCATCTGCTGGACCATTAGTTAAGAGAAAAAGAAGAGATATGCTCAAACGCTCTTCTTCCCCTACATTTCCTAGCCTATTACAGAACTGACTGAAAGTATGCTCTTCATTTTTATTTCAAGCCCCATGTTATAATGATTAGAGTGGGGGATTTTTTGCTTATGCAAAAATTTAATTTTTGGATTCTACAAACACAATCAGGAAAACCCCACACCTTAATCATGACACTGACTACCTTCAATTCTACATGCAAATTGTTTTGGTTTGGGTTTTTGTAACTAAACCAAGAAGGAAGGAAGAAAATTCCTTTCCCTATAAAGCCATGGTGACAGTTTCAATTAGACTGTGCAAGATGTAACAGAAACCTAAATGCATCATTAATAAAGAACCATGTGCCTTCAGCTATTAAAAATCTGTGGTATGCAATATGATTACGCTTCAAATCTGCAACAGCTTTGGTCTTGTTAACTGATGGGAAACACTATCTTTACCATCTCTGACAATAACCTGCTGCACGACTGTGGCTTAACTATTCTGTTGGCTTCCAAACACCCTTTTTCTCCATTCAAAATTTCAGTGTATACCTTTACAGTTCTTTCATTCAGAGATTGTGCACCAAAACCTGAACACTGTTTACAACAGTTAGGACAGTTGGCTTTAATCTCACGTTGGGCCTTCCAACTCTCTGCTTTACAAGACTTACTACAATTAAGACTAGCTGACTACAATAACATTATCCTAGTCTGGATGGTAAACATACATCATATTCTTTATACTAAATTGTTCTAATTATCCAAGATTAACAAGATAAGGAACTTCAAATTCAGAGACTTACCTGTGTCATTGCCAATGCAGTCTATTATCAGGCATACTCCTAAAGGTTGACTTTGCATTCTGTACTGATCATCAAATACCTGAGAAATGCGAAGGACAAATACTCAGTTAACGTGTCACACACTCAACTTACAGACTTGATTCTTTTCTCAAATGTAACCACCTCAGGTCTATTCAATTACATCTGTTGCTTTTCCATAGAGTAGCTAGCAGAAGTCTATCTGCTGGGATGTAATATGTCTTACCTACACAATAAAAACAAAAAATCAGGAGACATGGACTAATGATTATTTTCCCTATTTCTAGTCCATGCTTAATTTTTGCATCCTTGTGTTATGCAATCTTACTACTGTAATAATCCTTAAACAAAGACTAAGACTGTATCAGAAATGAGAGAAGTTTGAGACTACACTTTAGCTCTGGACAGATTTTCAAATGTTTGGTTTTGGTTTTTTGGTGTTTGTTTGTTTGTTTGTTTGTTTTTTAAAAAAAAAGGGCAGCTGGACTATGATGGTCCTTCATTATTCCAAATTAATTTCCTTAACTGTAACTGTTACAGAGATGTTGGGACCTCTATGAGCTTCATATTGCCAACACAATAAATGTAGAGAACTTCTGTGTTCTTTAGGTGTGCAAGCAAGCACTGTTCATAAGAATATTTATTTCCTTATTTAGTGGAACAACCTCCTAAATAAACTGTAATGGCTCTTATCACAATTCCTCTCCCCTTTAAAAAGATCAGTCAGCTTGCTATAGGTAACTCCCTGGTTCCTGGCCTATAGGAAAGCTAGTGAAAATAGCAGTAATCCATTCTTATCGTTACTACCCAAGGCATGTCTGTCTTCTACACGGAGAGCAAGGGGTGAGGAAAAAATAAAGAATAAAACTTGCTGTATGCAAAGAAGCTCTGTGATTTCTAATGCAGATGGCAAGAGGTCTCACTTCCAAAAGGTTTTGACTTTGCCTCCACTAATAAATACACAAGTTCTGTGTGCACATCGTATGTACGTGCATTTTGCATGCTGCTGTTTCCAGAAGAGTAGCAATTATTTTATATTAAAAATACATTCTGCAAAAGCAGAATAGAACCTCTTTATAACTGAGGAACATATGGATGTACAAATTGTTCTGTTTGCGTGCAATTAAAGGAAATCTCAAAATGAAACACAAAGAAAACTGAGGAAAATACCTGCAGAGGTTTTTATTATATTTACAAGCATACATACGCACAAGAACATACCTTATGTGACACTGGTCCTGATTCCTGAATGGACATGTGGATTGGTTCTGCTGCAGTTAAAACATACAGAAGTAATCTCAGTATATAGGTACCAGTAACATTTCTTTGACACCAAATCAGTCAGAGAGGAACCTATCTACTTCAGTCAAATTCTCACTCATCTGGACCTCTTAGTTTGTATGTATAGTGCTGAAGTTAAAAAAACCCTAAAATTTTCACGTCTAAAGTGTTATTTGGATTGCATTCCATGTTGCCTGTGACTATAATAAACAAACAAACAATCAATGTCTCCTACACTGAGAGAATTCAGCCAATTACTCCTTTAAAAATCACCGTATTAGAGAGGTATTTAGGGTTTCCAGAAAGAACACAACACACATGGTAAAAACCTGGTACTCACTGGACAACTTCACGGCTGGCCTGGTGGAGTCACTGCTAAACTGACACAAAAACTTCCTACTCAAGACTTAATGGGCACAACTGCATTAGACAGGCCTCCAGAGCTGGCTAGTCAACCTTTTCCATGATTTTATTCATAAATTATTCTGTTGAAAAGTTGTGCCAGGGGAAGTGCACAACAATTTCAGTAAAGTTTTAAGATCTGGTAGCACAAACAAAGCAAATAGAACAAACAGTGATGCAAGGCTCAGTTTTCAGAGTGACTAAATACTCTTTGTCCCCGCTGTTATCAACTGGATTCACCATAAACACAACCAACATAAGAGAATAAACAAGAGGGAATAAACAAGAGGAGCAGGAGATGTGTGCACACCTGCAGGACTATGATCTTACTGGCATCATGGAGATGAGGTGGGATGGCTCCTATCACTGGCATGTTGGAATGGAAGGAGACAGGCTCTTTAGGAAGAACAGGCAAGGGAGACAAGGAGCAGGGGATCGCCCTCTACATCAATGACCAGCAGAGGAGTGCATGGAGCCCTGCCTGGGGATGGATGAGGAGCTGACCAAGAGGTTATGGGTCAGGATTCAAGGGAAGGCAGGGACAGGAGATGTTATAGTGGGGGTCTGCTACAGGTCACCTGACCAGGAAGACCGAGCAGATGAGGCTCTCTATAGACAGGTAGGAGCAGTCTCACATCCACAAGCCCTGGTCCTCATGGGGTACTTAAACCACCCTGACACCTGATGGAGGGACAACACTACAGTGCATAAGCAATCCAGGAGGTTCCTGGAATGCGTTGATGGTAACTTCCTTCTCCAAGTGATATAAGAGGCAATGAGGAGAGGTGCTATGCTGGACCTTGTTCTCACCAACAAGGAGGGGCTGGTAGGTAGCGTGATGCTCAAGGGCAGCCTTGGATGCAGGGACCATGAAATAGTGGAGTTAAAGGTTCTAAGGGCAGAAAGGAGGGCACACAGCAATCTCGCTACCCTGGACTGCAGGAGAGCAGACTTTGGCCTATTCAGGAATATGCTTGGCAGAGTAACATGGGATAAAGCCCTGGGAGGACGAGGGGCCCAAGAAAGCTGGTTAATGTTCAGGAATCACCTCCTCTGAGCTCAGGAGTGATGCATCCCAACAAAGGAAGTCACGTAAGAATGCCAGAAGGCCTGCACAGATGAACAAAGAGCTCCTAGACAAGCTCACACATAAAAAGGAAGCCTACAGAGGGTGGAAGCAAGGACAAATAGCCTGGGAGGAGTATAGAGAAACTGTCTGAACACCCAGGGATGAGGATAGGAAGGCCAAAGCCCTGATAGAATTAAATCTGGCCAGGGATGTGAAGGGTAACAAAAAAAGCTTTTACAGGAACATTGGTACTAAAAGGAAGACTAGGGAAAATGTTGGCCCTCTCCAGAAGAAGGGAGAATTGGTCACCTGTGATATGGAGAAGGCTGTGGTACTCGACTTTTTCCCCTCAGTCTTCACCAGCAAGGGCTCCAGCCACACCATTCAAGTTGAAGACGGTAAAGGTGGGAACTGGGAGAATGAAAAACTGCCCATTGTAGGAGAAGATCAGGTTTGAGACCATCTAAGGAACCTGAAGGTGCACAAGTCCATGGGACCTGATGAGATGCATCCATGTGTCCTGAGGGAACTGGCAAATGAAGTGGCTAAGCCACTATCCACCATATTTGAGAAATCATGGCAGCCTGGTGAAGTTTCTGTTGAGTGGAAAAGGGGAAACATAACCCTTGTTTTTAAAAAGGAAGACTCAACGAACTACAGGCTGGTCAATCTCACCTCTGTGCCCAGCACGATCATGGAGAGGATCCTCCTGGAAACTCTGCTAGAGGACATGGAAGATAAGGAGGTGATTGGTGACAGTCAGCGTGGCTTCACTAAAGGCAAATCGTGCCTGACAAAGCTGGTGGCCTTCTATGACGTGGCTACTGCACTGGTGGATAAAGAAGAGCAACTGATGTCATCTACCTCGACTCGTGCAAACCTTCTGAAACTGCCCTGCATGACATCCTTGTCTCTAAATTGGAGAGACACGGATTCGACTGAAGGACCACTCAGTGGATAAGGAATTGTCTGGATGGTCACACTCAAGGAGTTGCAGTCAACAGCTTGATGTCCAAGTGGAGAGCGGTGAGAAGTGGCGTTCCCCAGGGGTCGGTGTTGGGGACAGTACTGTTTAACATCTTTGATGGTGACACGGACAGTGGGACTGAGTGCACCCTCAGCAAGTTTGCCAATGACACTGAGCTGTGTGGTGCGGTCGACACGCTGGAGGGGAGGCATGCCATCCACAGGGACCTGGACAGGCTGGAGAGGTGGGCCCGGGCAAACCTCATGAAGTTCAACAAGGCCAAGTGCAAGGTCCTGCACGTGGGTCGGGGCAATCCCAAGCACAAATACAGGCTGGGCGATCAGTGGATTGAGAGCAGCCCTGAGGAGAAGGACTTGGGGGTAGTAACGGATAGAAAACTGACTGTGAGCCAGCAATGTACACTCGCAACCCGGAAAGCCAACCCTATGCTGGGTTGCATCAAGAGAAGCGTGGCCAGAAGGTCGAGGGAAGGGATTCTCCTGCTCTACTCTGCTGTTGTGAGACCCTCCCTGCAGCGCTGTGTCCAGCTCTGGGGACCACAGTATTATGAGGACATGGACTTGCTTGAGCAGGTCCAGAGGAGGCCACGAAGATGACTGGGGGGCTGGAGCACCTCCCTTGTGAGGACAGGCTGAGAGAGTTGGGGTTGTTCAGCCTAGAGAAGAAATGGCTTCAGAGAGACCTTCTAGCAGCCTTCAAGTACTTAAAGGGGCCTACAGAAAAGGTAGGGAAGGACTTTTTATCAGGGAGCATAGGCATAGGACGAGGGATAAGTGTCTTAACACTGAAGGAGGATAGATTCAGATTAGATCTAAGGAAGTTACTGTGCAGGTGGTGAGACACTGGCACGGGCTGCCCAGAGAAGCTGTGGCTGCTCCCTCCCCAGAATTTTCAAGGCCAGTCTGGGTGGTGCTTTGAGCAACCTGGTCTAGTGGAAGGTTTCCCTGCCCACAGCAGGGGGTTTGGTACTAGATCATTTTTAAGATCCCTTCCAACACAAACCATTCTATGATTCTATCAAACAGTGAAATTTATCATTTGGCTCTTTTAGATTATCAAAACGCTCTTACCCAGAGTAAGACTTTGTCCATTCTGTGATTTTTCTTTGTTCGTATTCTGGATCTAAAATGAAGAAAAACATGTACTTTCTCTCTCTCCTTCAAGAATTAATAATCACATGTTCCAAATTATAACACAACAGTGGTTTTCTTCATCAATAAAAGGGTTGCTTATTAAGATTCACATATATCATCTAATTAGTATTAGAAAATAACAAGTAAAGAAATCCCTGACAAAACCACAAACAAGTAAAACCCCAAGACCCTTCCCCCTCTGAAAATTACTAACTTGCCATAAACATCAACGAAAAGCTTATTCCCTAACGTAGTAAAACAAAAAAAAAAAACCTCTGAAGATGTGAATTTTGTTTTATAAAGGGCATCAGGGAGGAACCTTCACTGAATTAGAAAGGAAATTATAACAATATAATACTAATAATATGGAAAGTCAATGCAAACTTTCCTATTAGTAGTCTGGAAAACAAAGCTGTTTGTGGCTTTGTTAGTAAAGACAAACGGCATCTCTGCTGTTTTGTATGTAGGCTTTACACATGCGTATTTACTGAACACATGACAGAAATAATCTCATCATATTTATTTAGCAAGGCTAAAGACTTTAAGTAAGGTTTTACTATTACAATATCAGATCTAATCCAAATATAAAGAATACTGCATGCAATAGGGTTTGATGACTGTTCACATACTGAGGTATCTTCATTAAAATGAGATTAAAATAAAACACATCAAAAAAATATGAAAAACTCTCCTGAAAAAGCCACACCTTCAGCTTCCATAGTTAAAAAGCTACTTTCCCTGCAAAGTCCAGAAGTACAAAGAAGAATAGTGTTTTTTGAAAAGAACAGCCAAAGCAAAACTATTCACTCCCCACAGTAGTAAAAATCTTCCTAGATACAGGTTTTATAGATGTTTCCAATTAACAGGAAAAGAATTCACAGAAGCTCTTTAGAGGGGATCTTTGTCAGTCAGACCCTAAGCCCTGCAAATAACAGGAATAAGAGAGATAAACCAAGTAATATTTTAGTTATTAGCAATCTCTCGTTCCTTGGGCTCTGCAAAGATGAATCCCCTTTCAATGTCTAGCAATATTTAGAAATAAAGGATCCATCTGATTTATTGTATACTTACCCCTGAATTATAAGGAGGATCAATCAGACTGAGATTAGGGAGAGATGCCTGAAGTGCATTTACATATACTGGCTGAGAATGAACGGAGGACATTAAAGCTGAAAATTTAACAGAAACACACAAAGAAATACACCATGATACATCAACTGTTTTAAAAGCCTAAATCTGTGAAGCATGCAAATATTTTGACTTGTAAGTCATAATTTTATCTTCAGTGAAAGTACATCTGATCCTTGCTATTAAGAGTCCCAGTGCAAAAATAGCATCTTACCTTCTTCATGTTTGTACTTCTGAATCTTCCTAATCAGGTCGATCCTGTGAATATTTCGAAAACAATTTTCCAGCAAATCCAGTTGATTAGGAGCCACCAAGTTTAATTTCTCCAGGTCAATCACAAGAGCTAGAAAACTCTAGAATAGCAAGAGAAAACCAAACTGTCATATCAGTAATTTGTTCTCTATCAGTAAGCAACAAAGCAAACAGGAAAATAATGTGGGGTGTTCATAAAGGTTGTATATTCAAGAAGTAAGGACATTATCTGCTGAAACACCAAGAAAATTATCTGGAAGACATAAGAATTCTTGGTACTATCACAGGAGTAATGGAAACTAGAAAGCCATACTCTTAAAAGCAAATCAAAATTTTTGAGGGAAGAGTTTTGCATTTCCTTGTTGCTACAAAGCCAGCCACTTCGAATGTCACCTCACATGTCACAAAGCAAGAGGTAAGAAAAACTTCGGGGAATTTGCAGGGCCCCTCTCCTTTGGTTAAAGAGAGAAAAAGAAAAAACCTCAAAGGATGAAGACAGATGTCTTCAGTCTTCTATGCACAGTTGTCATGTTTTCTGAACCCTCTACTGAATCTCTCCTTCACAGAGAATTTAAAACAAATATTCAGAATGCGAATGTACAGAGAAAGACATAATTAAAACAAAACTGTTCTTTTCTATGTGATGCAAAGCACAAACATAAAAAGTGACCTTGTTATTCAAGATATGTTTCATATAATTATTGTGATCCTTCACATACGAACTTTCAGATCAGTAATACCGAAGATTATTTTTTTTTAATGCCTGTGAAGTTCATGTTAACACCCTTCACTACAGCAAGTCTTCACTGTTCCCTCTTACTGTTTCTTGTGCTTCTTTCTTTGAATTAAAGAACAAAAAATGAAATAGAAGCCACTACTTCTTCCTCACTTCTGTATATAACTGCCTCACTACCCCTTGCAGTACCGTCTCCCTTCCTTTGCTGTCTAGCTACTTCACTTTTTACTTTAATCTCTCATTGCTCCAGAGAAATCCAGCAGAAAAACATACCTTATCTTTCGCCATTTTCATACGAGGTACATAATCTCTGAGTAGAAAAACAAGAGAACCCACTTCTTCTTTTTCCAGATTCTCATTAATTTCTACCATTAGTACCCTGAAATAAAGTTGAGACATTTCTAAAGGACTAGCTTTCAGCAAGACCCCACCCTTGCCCAACTACCAAACTTCTCCTATGTTCCAACCTTACTGTACCATTCCCAATTAAACAGAAGCCTACCCTGCTCCAAGATCTAATTACAAAATCCTGCTAATCAGTACCCGAGTTATTCATATTGACTGTGTAACAGTCACTGCTAGGAAAACAGAAGTCTCCTTAATATTTCAAGGGAGATGAAGTGAGAAAATGAGACAACAGAACACATCTTTAACTTTTTTATCTAGCAGTTACAGGTGTTTTATTTGAGTGAGAAGCTAACACAGGAAAATTTTCATTATAAGTACATATATTTCCTTATGAAGATTCTCAAATAACTGAAGCTTCTTAATTTAAGCCTCTTAACACTACAGAGTAAAAAGTATTAAGAGACAGGTTCCCTGAGAAAAGCTGTACCACAGGGCTATGTGTCCAAAGCAAACTAGAAAAGAAAATATCTCTAATGACGTTCCTCTAAAGCATCCTTTCTATCTGCTAATCTAGAACTGTACAAACATCACTGGTTTTATTGATTAACACACACAAACTCCTTAAAGATAGATGATTCTAATGTCATGACTTGTAAGGCTTATTTTAGGGACTAAACTTGACATTCTTTTCACTATCACTCTACATGTGATGCCCTTTTCTGCTTTTCTTTTACCTTCAAGATCTATTTAAAAAAGAAACAAAAACTAAAAACACCCCCCCCCCCTCAAAAAAACAACCAAATCTGAAGTAAACATGTTACCTGTAATCAGGGACAAGTCTGAGACTCCTGGCAAGGTTAGCTTCCACTGTTGTTTTCTCAGTCTTCAAGATCCTCCTCAGCAAGTCAAACCTCTTAACTCTGTACAACAGCTCAGACAAGCCAAGAAAAGACAGTTTCTCCCTCTCATTCAAAGCCACCAAGAGCTCTCTAATGTCAGCAGTGGCCAAGTCAGGAGCAAGGTCTCGGCACAGGAAAACCATCATCTCTTCTTCTTCTTTATCCAACTCTTGTTCAATCTGGTGAATAAGAGCAGCTGGAACTTGGCACCTGGTCATCACTTTGTTGCTGTCACTTTAAAATTGCCAGCCTACTGTTTTTTAAACAGGAAGCCAACATGACATGAAGTCCATGTCTACCACAGCAGTCCTCTGCTGTTCATTCTTAACTAGATGCATTTTTACATAAGCAGTTCTGTGGGAAATAAAGGATATTAAATCAGTGATCTGTTGCACAAGTTCACAGTTAACTCTCCTATCTGATGTATTTCACTTGCAACTGAAACACCAACATAGTCTACACAGAGCTCCTGTTCACAAGGGGTTCTCCCAGCTGTTCATTACGGAACAAAAAGTACTTGGTAGGTCATACTAATCAGAAAAAAATGGAGGTTCTTTTCAAAGTAAAATTACCTTAATACAAGTCTGTAAAGTCCATAGGAAGTGAAACAAAAGTCATCAGCTTGCTGATGAGTGATATTTCAAGTGTTTCTGGAAATAAGAGTTAAGTTCCACAGAAATTTAAGTCTAAAGCTCTGGCCTTTTCCCAGCAACCTTCCACCCGTCTGCTCACCACCACCTTTTCTCCCCTGAAAGTCTCAAGGCATTTTTCAGGAAGATTTTTGGGAGCTAAGAAGTAGTGTAACTACACACTATAGACAAAAGAATTTAAAAAACCCCACATATAAACCCATTGCTATCAGCCATGCACTTTGCCTTAAATTAAGTAAAAATAAAGGAAATATTCACAATATAATATGTCATATTTTGCAACATTAATTATCTATAAATGCAGGAATGTGTGGATTTTCTTACTTATTAGCATCATTTAAAGCAACTCCAATCTGAATGAGTTACTCGGGTTTTAAGGATTACACACACACCCCCTCCATGCTCAAAACGATCAAAGAACAACTCAAAGAAAAAATTCCAACCTGAAGTACACAAATTGGTTAACTCTGAAGGTATAGGTAAGCCATAGATCACCTTTTTCTTCATGTGGCATTTGTCTTTCACCATACTGGAAACTGAATTAAAAATTCAAACCTAGGAAAAAAACCTGCCCTTGTGATTAACAAAATAAGTAGGGTGCTCTGCTCAACTTCCGCTGCCACCAACTATGGAAATTCTATCTAACCTTCTCTTATCCCCATTACTGACATAGAGAAGGGTGAAATGAGCAACAGGAAAACAAATTTTAGCCCTTTACAAGGAATTCAGTCACTATACCACATAGTTTTGTTCAAACTGTTCTGAAAAGCAAAAGCCAATTCAACTTCAAAACCTAACACACTGAAAGATTCTAGCATCTGGATAACATTTTCAACATTTTTACAATCAACCATGTCATGTATTTTGCCCATGCATTAAGGAGATGAGATAAACTCATACAAAAGCTTTTTTTTTCCTTCTGTTCCAACACTGTTAAAATGAAAAATAACTTTATACATCCACCTGACTTTTCTCTGAAAGGGACTAAGAGTTGGATTGATTAAACGTATGGATTGGGTTCCATTACCCACTATAAGAGTGTATCAAATTCAAGTTCATAGGGAAGCCTCCTTTATCTACATCTATCCCAGTGAGCCATATTTTCTAAGGTGTCAAGGACTGCAGCGGGTTTGTCCTCCAACACTGTTGCTGATAGTCACAATAGGAAGTCATCTTTATTTTTTTAAAATACAGGCACTGTTAATCTTGCTGATAGCACTTCTGAATCCCTAGGGGATTACAACACAAGTAGCTGCTATGACTTCAAGGTCCCACCTTCAGAAGGAAAACAGAAGGGGGAGGTAAGGAAAGGCAGCAGGCAAGCTGTAAAATAACATAAACCCACCATATTTGAAGACCCAAGCATTACTCAGCATGTATTCCTGCACTTCCAGACCACAGTGTAAATGAGACCTAACAAAGTCCTCAAAACAGCACTGAGGCCACTTGGGCTCATTTTCAGAAGCACAGTCAGTGCATTCAACTGCAGCTGACAGTAACAAGGCTGTAGATACCCAGCTTAGCCCACTGCAGCTTCCCATGTGCGTTCTCCACAGACTGTGCCAAGTACCTGGAGAAAACTCACAATTACAGTACTCCTGCTACAGCACACAACCAGAAAAAAGCAAAACCTATCCTCTCTGATACAGTTCTGTTCCTCAGAACCAAAAAGAGACAGGCACACAGTGTTTTCCCTCATCACATCACACCATTTCGGAAGTTCAGAGAAATAAATGCACTGTTGGCGCTAAGAAGTGCAACAACATTTAATGTAAACAGTGCAAACAGCAAAAACCCTCAAACAGAAATGAAACACCAGTAGAAGCTGCCTTTTTCAACTACCCAGGACCACAGTATTTTGAATATAGCAAGCTGAAAAGTTTTGTTTCCAATAAAACCAAACTGCGTAGACAAAATATTTGTATTTTTGAACCTGTTCTATTTTACACATGGACATGCAATGCTATCACTTGTATAGCTGGGGTGGAAGGGCAGGGTGGGAAAATTTTCAGGCCTCTGATAATGCACTGGAATGGTTTTTTATACAGTTTACTATCAGAGGAAACGGGTATTTATTGTACTTGACAAGTACAGTTCTTATTTTCAATCTAGCATCAAACATTTGTTGGAATTCTACAGAAAGACAAAAACTGTTTTCATGACATAATGCAGTCAAAAAGGGGGAGGCACAAAACACACTCTCATATGAAAGCATCTCCCAGGTACATACAGCTGGGACTTTCAAAAGAGCTTGAGGAAGCCATATTTATGACTCATTCTAAAGGGAGACAGGAATTTAAAAACTTTTGGCCATTTTCAGAAACATCAGATAAACTTTTTTAAAGAAAAAAAAACCAAACCCAACACCATTCTAGTTGATTTCTATCTAATCTTTTAAAACTAGTTAAAAAAAAAAAAAAGAGGTATGTGTATGTGTGGTAGGGAGGAATTTCTGAATTAAAATTTCAGACATGCAAAATTGCTATTTATATGTTATCTTAAAAATAATCTGCCTTTAAAAAACACATATGAATTACTTATTTTGTGGACTTCCTTTATATAAAATAAATCACATGCTCATAAAAAAATGCTGATCAATACTTCCAGTGCAGAAACTCTCTTACCTGTATGCAAGTCTGTCCACAAGAACATGGGAACAATGGCATTTGACCATTTCCAAATCACTGATCCAGATCCAGCACACACTGGTTTCCATCCAGTATCTTCAGCTTGTTTTCTGTTGGACAAAAATCAACATCACAAATTACTGCTGGGGACTACTTTCCAATTTTAGTAGGGGAAAAAAAAACAAGGAAAAATGACCTCAGATCATGCATTCTTCTGCATGATTCCACTGGTCCAGTGAACCAGGAATGATGCTCCAAATAAAAGGAAAACCAACTGCACACATATAATGATCTGTCAATAACATTCATTTCCCCAAGGTTCTGAGTGGGGAATGAATAAGAGCAACATAAATGTTTAGTATAAACTAAAGCAGTTTGTAACTTTGCACCCAAAACCCATGCCACCGTATTTTGATAGCAGGTGTCACCCTACCGAGGCAAGCCCGATACATTCCACCTGTATACATTTGAGCCAGACCCACTTCACCATGAAATGTGAAGGGTATCGTGCTTCATCCTTCCATCTGATATGACCATTTTTGCAAATGTCACAGATACAGTTATCACAGCTGCAACAATTAAAGAGAAAAGCAATGACAATGTAAAATCCACCAGCCTGCCTTTCAATTTAGATTACCTGGGCCCTACAAGGAGAAGAGTATTTGAACGTAAATTCTTTATGGAGAGGAAAACCAGCTTAACTTCTCAAAAGGAAAGAAAGAAGTTCATACTCTTCAGAGATAAAGCTGCCCCAAGTTTGTGTTCATCTGCATGTGTAATTTGCCAATATAGCTGCAAGAAAACACTCAAGACTTTCTTCTTCCATTCATGTATTGAGTAAAGATTTCAATGCAAAGCCTATGGAGCAGGAAGACGGTTGAAAAAATAAACTTAGCGCTACACATTCTCGTTTACATTCCTGTTTTATAAGAAATCCAGAATAATTTCATATAGCTGAATTCTAACACAACCACCACCACCACCAGCTAAAAGCATACTGCAAGATCACATCAGTAACATTAGGGGCAGAGTGAGTGAAAGGGGCAGGCCTACACATGGTATAACAACAAAATCTCTTCTGTACACAGTGAACCGGGAAAACCCCTGGCACAACAAGAGACAATAACTGGTGAGGCAAGTTTTCTGTAAGTGGCTATTTTAGTTCACTATCACCCATTTTTCACAGGGGAAGGGCTCTTCTGGGAAATATTCTTAGTCTGGTAAGAAAATCACTGATTCTTGGGTGACTCATCTGTCCTCTTGTCCCAAAAAGAGGTATGAGAGATCAACGAGATAGTACCAAAGTGCACTTAAATACAGGTTTCTGGGTTTAGTTAACCTTTAGACTTGCCTGAGCAAAGATTTTAAACCTGATGAATTTTTCACATACTGCACAGGAAACCACCTTTGTCATAGGCTTATTTGTTTAAGTCTGTACTGACTCTTGACTCTGGGTATTGTACTATAAACAAGGTTCACAGTAAGAAATTTAAGATAAATACCCAAGAATATTAGCAAGCATTTTTACTCCTCAGACCATAAATAATTTCTATTCCACATTGAAACAGGCAGAAAAACATCTGTATATTCAAACTTCTATGAAGCTAATAAAAGTTATTAGACTCCTATTTTTGAACTATTTCACACTGCCCCCAGCCTATATAGAATACAACCAACTTCAGGGATAGAATTCCTTCCCTTTCCCCACACCCCCCAAGAAGCAGGAAATAACATGCTAAAACTTTGCACATAAAGGCACACAAGGCTCCAGTAACTCCCTGATGGCATTAACAAGTGGAGGCTGGTATGTGCGTACAAGGCTCAAGCAATTTTATTCTTTGCTGTTTTAATACCAAGCATGAAACCCTTGTTCCTATGACTGCAACACCAATGCTGTACAACATACAAATACCAATGTGATTATCAAGGCAAAGAGAAGTGTCTTGTATTAACAATGAGAAATCAACATATCAGGCTTCATATTAAGAGAGAAGGTCTTTCAAGAGAAGCAGGGAAACATTCTGCGCTCTAAACATGGTCTACAACTGAAGTATTTTCTGACAGAATTTGTTTCTTTAACATTTCATAACCATCTCCGCAGCAGCAAAAACAGGATATAACATCAGTGGGTGTAGTTCTGATTTGGAAAATTATCTTTGTGTCACAAGATGAGCTCACGTGGAAGCCCCTACACTTCAGGGAGAGAGTAGGAAGTTAGTTTGCTACTGGAGGCACTAGTTGCACTTTGTGCTTCCTCCGCTGTGCTTTGTTTGAAGAGGCAGAGGTGGTGAAACCACACAAAGGTAACTGCATTTTGAGCCTGTATCGTCTGGTATTTTTCATTGTTGAATCGTTTGAGGCACGCTTCACAACTTTTGCATTTCCCTATAAAAGAGATTTTGTACACGATACTTAGGGAAAACAGGAAAATACTGCAATAACTGTCACATTTCTCATTACTCTATTAGGCTGTTTGTTCTCAGTGTAAACTAGTGGTGACCACGCTGATTTCCATTTAGAGATGCACTAGTTTAACACGCCAGTCCTCCTTAAAAAAAAAAAAAAAAAAAAAAAATCAAAGAACAAAAAACAAGACCAACAACAAACCAAAACCAAACTAAAACTGGTTTTACCGTGGGGAGTTTACGCAGATTTCCACGCAACTTTCTAACTAAGTCATTTTAAATCACACATGGAAAATGAAGCAAGAGAAAATTCCGCTTTGCAAGATAAAAAAAGTTTCAGGCGGATGACCGGCGTCGAGTTTTGCTTCTCCTCACGAGCAACGTCTCTCTGGGGCCCCCCTTGCGCCGGACACTCCGGCACTCCGCACCCGGCTCAGCCCGCCCTCCGCGGAGGACAGAGCACAGACAGGGAAGAGGACCCGATCCCAGAGCACAGGGTGTTGCGGCGCCTACACTGAAGGCGTAGGATGAGAAGAAAGGTGGGGGGAAAGGAAGAGGGAAAAGGATAACGCACCCGAACGCGCTGGGGTGGTCTCATCTACAGCAGCGGGGCCAGGTCCTGCACCGGGAGCAGGGTGGGGCGCTACCGGCCTACCAACCGCCTCCTCCGCACCGGGCGTGGTTTCGAATTCACTTCTCTTTCTCTCACATCAGTAAGACCCGCAGAGCGTTTTTCGTTTGTGCTTATGGCTATTGCAGAGACCCGAGCCGCCTCTGTGAGTAGACAGCAGCGCTGTTCAAGGTGGAGATCCCTCCTCACTGAGGGACTCGGGAACAGACTTTAGCCGCCTTGCCACCATTAAACATCTGCCGGGCCACATTAACTAACCCTTCCGATTTTATCGTGAGTCCGACCGTTAGGTGTTTTGGGGCGAGGCGAGGGAAGAATTTTCGTTTTCCTTTATAGTTTACCTCAGGAAATGAAACTCAGAGCAGCACAAACAAACCCGCCCAAATCCCAGAAGATGGCGGTGGGGCTGTGCCGGAAAAACGTCCCCTCGCTTGCGCCACCTTCCGCCGGCGCCTTTGAGTGTGGGTTACGCACAAAATGGCTTCCGAGTGGCTGGGGTGCCGGTATCGCTGTGAGGAGAGGGGCTTGTCAGTGGGGTGATCCTGAGTTCAGTATGTGTATAGACGTTTATGGGACTATGCTTTTTATACTGCTGCTGGTATGAGGACAGAAAAAAAAAACAGCTTTTTATTGGTTCCGGTACCTAATCACTAGTAACTGGCCGTTTTTTAGTGATCTGTTAAAGGCTTGGGGTAGATGTGGGCATGTGTTTTGGTGGGCGTTTATACCGAAGTAGGCCCTTGGTTCATATTTTGAGTTTGTTCATAGCGAGGGTAATGTACAGGTGTGTGAAAGTTGTATGCTTCCCATTGTTATCTTAAGTCATGCCTTGCCTTTGTAAACTGGGTGTCATGATTCACTTGGTATAAACTAGAATTTCTATGAAATTACTCACTGTGAGATGCTGGTAGTGTAGCTGGAGCTGTGCCCTTAAAAGGCCTAAAATCTAAAATTCTGGGCTGCTTTTATATGCTGAAATAGACAAAAACCATCTCCATATGTGGTGAAGTTAGACACACGTAACTCCCAGCTCAATGGATTTCAAAGCATTTATGAAACAGTGAGTCATTTTTTGGTGTTGCTAAAAATACAGCAGTAGAAGCACAGTACTGTGGGATAGCATGCTGTTGTGCAGAGGGTCACGCTGTCTTTAGAACTGCAGGAGAAACGAGGCAGAAAGTAAACGCCCACATTAGAATTTGGTTGGGTACCAAGCGACTGCTCTGTGTTCTGAAAAAATACCTGGGTTCTTACTGAAGTTGTACGTCAGGCACTCACTTTAATATCAGTCATTCAAGAGTATCGCAGTATTCCTGCTACTAAGATGTAGCATTGGATCTGTGCTGATCCAGAAGGAAACCAGCTACCTGTTTTGAATCAATATGCGCACTTTCTCCTTTGTTTTATTGCATAGAAACGTGAGGACTTATACAGGCTCATAGAAGAGGTTTAAGGAGATGGTATGGCAGGTTTATGAAAGAATTTACTTTTTTTTCCAAAAATGGTTGAAAGAATGATTTACTGATTTAACACAGCCATTACTTAAGTGACCAATATACTATTTTGTTTACTTAATCCACTTTTTCCTTAATTTACCTATTTTTTATATGCTTATTAAACAGTTTCCACACTTTTATAGGCAGTATGTGAGCTGTATGCAAGGTTTTTTTTCATTCTTTCCATTTCTAAGTTGAAATACTACACTGTCTTCATTGATAGGTTCTCATGTAAACTGGAACTGTAAATCAATATAACTGTAGAACGTAGAGAATACCAGTAAGATTAGGTGTGATTGAGGAGACATGGTCCTGTATGTTTCAATTTAGAGGGTTTTGGATATAAATCTCTGCCCTGGGACAATACTTCTCTTGATACGCTTTCATAACAGGTTTGATCTATTTAATTTTGTAGTTTCTCCTAGTTATGTAAAAGTCCTTAAGAATTTATGCCTCCTAAAATACTATTAACTTAGTCACTGTTGTATTGGAATTAGTTAGGAGCTTTAACTTCTCTGTAACATACAAATTTGCAAGATTATGCTAATGATGTAAGTATAGGCAGCATTAGCAAAAACAATAGATGTATCACAAGTATCTTTCTAGGTGACTACTGATGGAGACAGGCTTTCCACCTGCATTTCAGAAAATGGAGCATCATGAGTTCTACTTTTCAGAATTTAAGATACAGAAAGAGCTTCCTGACTGTGGTATTACAATCATGTGTGTTCCTCCCCTGCAGATGCCACTCCTGTTTGTGACCCTGTTCTTTGCACTGTAAAATACCTGTCCTGGTAGAAAGGCTGCTTTAATGTAAGACAGCCATTGCTACAGTTACAGTGAAAACAGATTTGATACCGTTATTTTAATACACAGGAAATACTCCATCCCCAGGCAGGATTAGCATCATAATACCCGTGAAATAAAAATCTTTACGAGTATTTTATGTATAATAACAATGAGACATTTTAATATTCCACAATATTGGCAGATACGTTCATCATAAATGAAGGTTTAGGGCAGCAGCTGCCATCTGGCTATTAAACCATAGAATGATACTACCTTAATTTATAAATTAGTGAGTTTTATCTAAACTAGTCTAGTCTAACATTTAATATGCTCAATATATTTGCTTATGTAGAATGTTAGCAAGGCTTATTCTTACGATCTTTCCTATATAAGACAACATTTATGCATTAATTCAATTTTTAAATCTTTAAAGTAGAGCATCTGTGTAGATTAAATTCAATTGAGATTACTTGCTTGCATGTAAGTTTTCTGGAAACTGTGGCTGAGATTAGAAGAAATAAAGATTTTGATTGTTTTAACTTTGTTCATATACAATAAAGTCCTAACAAACAAAATGATCTGTTTTAAAAAAAATATCGAGGAACACATTAGTTTATATAGCAGCCGGCCTCCATTTGTATGTATATGACATCTTTTTGTCTGAGTAAACTAAACAACATACAAAGGTTATGTATGCTGAAAATATGATTACAGTAACTTAAATCTGTGTTCACCAGCTAGTGCTTGAAAATGAAATAATGTATTAATATCTCTTCAGCTACTGTAAATAAAGCTCTTGATTTTTAACAACTGTCTGCTGTATCAGTGAAGTGGCAGGCTTATAACATTTGAAAAGACTAATTCTACAGGAACTTGCAGTAACTTTACCTCAGACTCTGAAACATTTGATGTAGAACAAACAAAAAAAACCCAACGAAAAGCATACATACATAAGAATATGAAAACAAAAAGAGCAGCCTAAATGAGAAGCACGTATCTTCAATGCAAGGTTCACCGATAGTGTGTGTAATGCTAGCTCTGTTAATTGTTTTTCTGAACCACCATCTAAAATGCAGTTATCTTAAGAACTTTAGTCTTGGACCCAGATAGAAAACAAGCACTGAATACCAGTCTTTGAAAATGTATATTCTGGGTGAAGCTACCTATGGCACAACACAGAAATATTTTGTGCAACAGACCTTATACAGTAGGTTCTTCATTTGTTTTTCATCGAATGGCTCAACTGGGTAGGGATGCTTGAGAAAGAATTAGGCAAGAAAAGTTTAGTAAAATAAATGTTTGCCCTATGAACAGTGCCTTGAGTAATGTCATACAGAGGTGACAAAACTCTAGCAAACAGTACAGCTGCACTCCCACAGTAACGGATGGTCATTGGCTCTATAAAATAAAGCTCTGTTACAACCTCACTCAGAAAGGTTGTGTGCAAATACGTGTATTAAAAAACCCATGTATTTTAACTGTGTTTTGGGAGGACCTTCAAGTCTTCTGTAAACCTGCAATTTGTGGCACCATTATTTAAACTTTCCAGTTTCTTCACCGTGGAAGTATACTATGTAATTGTCTAGTGGCATTTACAGTTTCTCACTTGTCTAATTTTGTTTTTCTGTTTAGTGACACAGATATCCTGCTGTTTGGACTGAAAAATGAGGTAGTATATCCTCCTTAGTTTATGCTACTAACGGTATAACAGAATTTGCAATAGGATATTCAGCCAGTTCTAATGCCTAATGCTGCAGAGGACGTACACTGCCAACAGGCCCTTTTCTACTGCAGTCCTCACTCCAGGCATTCTTAAAGCACTCCAGAAGCTGTTAATTAATTTAAGGAAAAAATAGTAAATTTAAAACAAATTATTAAGAGACTAGGTGTAAAGATAAATAAATCAGTACTACTACAAATTTACAACTTAATAGACCAGAACAAAGAAAAACAGCAATTCATTTTTTTTTCTTTTTCATATTACACTCAAGTACATTGGAAGTCATATTAGGATAAGGTACAGTTATCGCCTAGTGAAGCATTCTACTTAGTAAATGTGGCAGCAATGTAATTTTTAATTTCTTGATGTTACACACTAGGTTATTTTCGTGCATTGTGTCTGCCAAATTAACTCTTCAGTAGGATTAAGCATAAGCTTTGTTATTTTCATATACTTTGAGGCAGTTCTGGGTATTTAGAGCCTTAAGGCAATAGTTCTTTTTATTTAGAGGCATAAGCGTGAATAGTAACAAATTATACTTTCAAGAAATGACAAGTCATTCATTAGCACTTACTAGCAAATAATTGTTATTAAACCTGTAATTAATACAGTACAATTTTTCTTTTAAAAGCGACACACTTTCTCATTTTCATTTAATAGAATGTTGGCAGGGCTTGAAAGAGCTGTGCTGATAGTTTCTCCTGATCTTTATAGGATGGTACAGCAAACCCAAGAGCATATGTATGTTGTGGTTTTTTTCCCCAAATTGACATCCGGTAAATCACTCTGGCTATGTGTTTTGATCGTTCCACAAAAGTATAATAAAATAAAAGAAATATGGTTCTGCCTGTGATAGACTTTAATATGCATAAGTACAGAGTGAACAGCAGGCTTACGTATTTTTCAGCTTAGTAATTAGTAACTAAGTTGTCATTTTTGATCTTCAGTGGTGGCCTCCATTCTTCTTTGGAGGAAACAGCGTATATTCAATTCCAAGGGCTATGACGAAAGCTACAAATCCCCACTTGAGTCCCCTGGTAAAGACTTCTGTTATGGTGGTGGGTTTTGCAAAGCCACCCATATATCTCCAGGCTTCATTACTAGAAGAAAAAATAAACCAAAAGAAAAAAACAAGACCAGTGGAGCCACTGTAATAAACATTAACAGGAATATCTTTGTTTGGAAAAAAAGGTGAAATAACTTCCAATTAGATATACATTGAGACTGTAACATTTCTATCATTTAAGTAACAGGAGTTGCCACACGTAAAGTTCATTATATTAACTGTAACCCTTTATGCATATAATTTGAGATACAAGTAACACCAGCAAACAACATAATTCTAATAACAGAATCATGTCCTCAAACTTACCTATTTGTTGTCTTCTGGTTTTATTCTGAAACAAAATCAGAACCTACTAGGACGTGCATGGGATGGACTAACTACAAAGGCTAGTCACTCTGCTAGACAGTATCTAGCATAGTTAAATCTTAAAAGGGAAAGTTTTTTCCAGTCATAGAAAAGTCATCCCAGTGTGGAAGCACTTTCTGTTTTATAATATGACACTTAACTATATTAGGGTTATAAAAGCCTACTAAAACTGATAAAAAAAAAAAAAAGCAGCTGAAAAGATTGTGTTTACTTAAAAAGCTATCGAATATTTACAAACCTCATGCTGTTTTGCCTTACTGTTTTTAATTTACATTGTTATTGAAATGTATGTCACTGCTATAACTGAGTACCAGTATTTATGTGTAGATTACCAGTGTAAACTATAGAGACGGACAGTTTGTCTCTTCGAAGGACCCAAAGTCCTTAAGAAAAAAATATTTGCACAGAAACAAGCAATAATATCAGAACCATCACTTCAGAAGAAGATACATTTTTTTTAAATAAGGGGTCAAGTATTTATGTTCGTAGATAATTTCCTTGTGCAGATTGTTTCTGTGACTCTGGATGAAGGCATATTGTCATGGAAGAGTATCTTCTAAATGCTAGTATAGAGTACTAACTGAAAAAGACTGAGGTTTCCAAATATGGCATCGTTCACACAGCTTATTCTATATTGAATATGGACATTAGTGTGCATTTGCTACAAAGGTGGAAAGCTGATCCCATGTTAAAAGGAACTTAATATACCAAAGAGGAAAGCCCTAGAGAGGGTTACTTTTCCAAGACTTCTAGTGCAAGATATTAATAATGCAATCTTCTTCTTTGAGGTTACTTAAACAAGTAACTTCATACTATAATTTCTCCTTTGTTAAGGAAGATTGATATGGTACATGTTCTATGGAACCGAAATACTACCTTACAGAAAATTTGAGAAGTTCAGGAGGAATCATTTCATGCTTTGAGAGTTTGACTTTGTTCCTTATTTCAACTCCTCACATAATTGGCTCAATCACCTTTTTACCAGAGAGTCATTATTTTTTTTTTTCTAAGAGGATCAACAAATACTACACAAGCTCTTTTCCAGTTTGCTGGTTTGCAGCACTTCCGGAACTTGGAAGTGTATGCACTGAAAGTCAGGATAATTTACACAATTTATGGTGTTAAACTGTGTCCATTTTTTTAATGGGAATAAGCCTATTGCTTGCTGAAAACAATTTTGTCTGAAGCAAAGGAAAAAAAAAGCAAACACTGCTTGCCACTCCACAGAAACAGAGTAAACATAAATGTGACACGGGCCTGGAAAGGTCACTGGTAACCAGTAATCCTAAGGACTCATATCTCAAATTATTCTTACCACCAAAAGTATGTTTTATTCTAGGCTTCCAGCCTTAAACTGTTCCAAAGGAAGGAAAAAAGTGCTGTCAACCCCAAGCCCCTGCAGAGCTTATAGCATGTAACCAACTTGTTAACAAATTACCTATTTGCTCTTAGATTTTTCTTGCACTGATGTGAAGTAAAGCCTTTTCTATGAAGGCTCCTGGAATAGGTTGCTCATGCAGCTTTTTCCTTACAACATAAGACATTTAGCATTTTTATTCCCCAAGATTAAAGATAATTTGAGCAAAATGTTACCTAATTTATGATGTGGGAGAAGTATGTTAAGCCCTGTTTTAACAGCTGTACAAATGATCCAGAATTGCCCTAGCTAAAAAAGAGGAGGTATTCATTGTAGAGTGGGACAACTTAAGAGGTAAAAATCTGATTTTCCGTTATGTCATTAACCTTATCTTCCATTTTGTCATTCTCTGTTTAGCAAAATGAAATGCACAGTTGAATAAAATTACATATTGTATACTAGTATATTTATTCTTTTCAAATAAAGGCCTCCTGCTGTGTATGAAGAATGCTATTCCTACCCAGAATATTAATGTAAGTTCCATCAACTTCAGCAAGATCTCACCACGCAGTCTCTTTGCTGAGAAGGGATAGGCTTACTCATGTGTGCATGACCTAATGTTACTTATGTGTCTTGGTGAATGAGGTATTGGTCATTGTGCCTGATCTGTATCGTCATGAAACATCACAAAGTGCAAGAGTGCCTTGCAAAATGTGGAGACTAGTCAAGGTGATGGAAAGCGTGACCTCCACGCAGAAAAGTAAATAAAGACTTAACTGAAATATTCTAGCTGCGTTTTCGCTGTTTTTACTAAAGAAATAATAATCTGCAATGACGAGGTCCAGTTGATTCTATGAGATGACATATCAAGACTATTTTTAAGGGTTTTGCACTTACCGAGCCCACGGATCCCTAAGACCCCGTTTAGCTAGCCTTTCCTGGACCTTCTCTAGTGGCGTACCCTCTATCTTCCATTGCCTGTAGTCAGGGAGCTCCACCTTGCCATGGCCATGACCATGTTCATTTCCATGCCCCATACCTGCAAGAAAAGATACAAGTTTTTTATTTCTGAGAGAGTATCGGCTTATTTTCACACACTTGCAAAGAACAATACCACGTACAGGAAAAACAAGGAGATTGTTAAGTATTCCAAAGCTCACAGCACTGCACATGAAGCACTGTACACAGAACACTGTAGAACAAAAGGCTGAGAGATTTTATGCTGCTTTTCAGAAGCTGGTGATTAATCACAATAAGGCAAACTGTGCATACTTCAGTGTTACTGTGTAGCAAGTCACCACCATAGTTACATTCATGAAGCAGCTATGTAAATTTTCTGTGCCAGAAAACAGTGTCAGGAAAACTAACATTTCCAATATCTAGAAATGCACTTTAGCAACACCAGATTCCACCAACTTGCAGGCCTTCCAGAGTACATCAAAAAGCTCAAAGTTCAGTTTGGAAATTTCTAATTTAGTCATGTCAGAGCTGTGATCACCAAGCTATGAAGAAAACCATGAGAAAAACAAAGACTTGGCTCCTCAGCTCCCTTTAACTTGCCTCCAATTCAGTCAAACATAACTCTGCCAATAAACTAGTACAGGATAGATGAATGGACAAGGCAACGCACTTTACTAGTCATTTCACAAGGCTAGGAAATAAATGCTTTATTTGGATACATCTTTGAGGGAACTATGAAGAAATTAAGTTTCTCATTAAAAACAGTGATCAAGGCAGATGGAAAGGTTAACATTTTCAGTGAGATCATGAAGGACTGGAAGAAAATAACATTGGCTTTAAAGTCTCAAATAGACCTTTTCACAAATAGACTTCTTTGAGCCAGGATTTCCTATTTTAACATATACCTGATAGCAAAGCACAGATTTAATGTCCTTAATTTTTAGGAGAATTGACTGGAATGCAACGGTGCCAAGAACGCAGCTCTGAAGCCGGTAACTATTGAAGACCCTAAGCTGGGGAGACAAGCAATGAGAACTCTCTTGGAGAAGGAAACATAAAGAAGAGGTCTAATGCTGTCATTACCTGAAAAGCCGCTCCGCCCCGCGAAATTAAATGGCAGTCTACACCCTCGCTATAAAATCCCAAGACCTCTCTCCTACCGATACTTACCTTTCTACACGAAAGGGGTTTATGCGCACACGCACTCTAGCGCTCATACACCGCGGCCACCGGGCTGCGCTGCAGCACCACCGGGCACTCTCTGCCAGCAAACCCGGCCAAAGCAGCGCCAAAGGGGCACCCTGAGACGGGGAAAGAAGGGAGGGCCGGCGCAGCGGCAGCGCCGAGGCCCGCGGGCCCGGACGACACGGCTGCGTGAGGCCGCGCCGGTTCGGCGGGGGCAGAGCCCGGAGCAGGAGCAGCAGCAGTAGCAGTAGCAAACATCGCCGCCATCCCATCCCACCCCCCTCCCCACCCCACGCACAGACACTCCCGGGGTAAGCAGCAGCGCAGGCAGGTCCTAAAAGGCGCCTGGACCCGCCCCTCGCACCTCACACCGATGGGCCCTCGGTACCTGCCCGCTCCGTGACCCTCCTTCAGAACTCAGCCGCCACCCGGAAGCGGAAGTTGGCACGAGGACCGTTCGCTGCAGGAAGCGCAGCCAGCCACAAGGGTTCCGGATAGCTTCCAGTCCAGTCCCTCTCCCTGTCTTGGTGAAGGCAGCAACGCCGCTGCCCAGCCCTCGGCTGCTCGGAGCGTTCCCGTCGAGGTTTAATGAGGCAGGTCCCGCACACAGAGCGGCGCCGCCGACCCTGGCGGAGTCGCTGGAGGGGGTGGGGGAGGGGGTAGGGGCAGGGGTGGGGAAGAGGAGGAGGAGGAGGAAGACACGGAGGAGAAAGTGACCAATCGATGCAGCGCTTGTTGGGGGCGGGAGCGGCCCAATGGGTGGGCGCGTTGTTGAGTTGCGGGGTTGGCAGTGGCTGGAGGTGGCAGCGGAGGAGAAGAGGGTGAGGGGGCGGCGGTAATAGTAGTCGGTACTGGAGCCGTTGGGTGGCGGTGGGGCCTGGGCCAGCGCCGGGACCGGGACGGCAGCAAGCATCTCCCTCTCCCCTCCCTTCGCTGCTCGGCCGTCGCCCGCCGGTCGTTACCGGGTGCGCGAGTAGGGACGGAAGCCCGCAGGGTCTGCGCGTGCGGGGGCGCGAGCCGTCGTTCCCCCCCTCCCGCCATAACCACCGCGGGGCGCCGCGCTTGGCCTCCGCTCCCCGCTCCCTCTCCCCGCAGGCGGTGGCTCCCAGGGCGGGCGGCGGGGAGCATCCCCGCGCCCGGCGGTTAGGTAAGCCCCGGGGCAGTGCCCGTCGTCCCCTTCTCCTCCCCCACTCTCGGGGCTCGCCCCATCGGGGCAAGAAGTTGCGGGGGGAAGTCGGAGGTGCTCGCGAGCCCGGCGAGCACCAGAAGCGGACTTTCGGTTTCAGTGGACGTGTCTTAAAAGAACGTCTCTGTGTGTTTCCATAGGAGAAGTGGGGAGACATCCTGAAATCCTGGAACTGCGCTGAACGGTAAGGGAAAGTTCAGAATTATCTTGGTGGCCACTTCTGGAGCGAGATGGTTGCTTGGTTCCACTGAGTACCTGCCTCTGATGAGCTCGGCGTTTTGCATGTCATGGCTATGGAATGGCAAAGTGTTGATTGAGTTAGTATCTGGGTAATTAAACTATTTTTTATGTTCCTCAAGGTTGAGTACATAATCCCCCTTGTCCAAAAAGCAACTGGTAAAAGTTAATTATTCAGTGACTTATAAAGGCTTCAATTATTCCTCAATTGTAGATGAATAATGCTTTTTCTTTATAACAGAATGCATATCCTGTTACACTAATTTCTGATGCTCTTAAAAGAATGAGAAAAAATACTGTTTTATAGCATAAAGCTGGCAAAATTTTAGAACAGACTGTAGTGTTGTATTTTTTTTTTTTTTTTTTTAATATCCTTATGTAAAGCTGCTTCTGCATTTCAAGGTTTTTTTAGAGGGATATTGGGAGCGCATGAGAAGAGTTCCAGGAGGAATGCCATTATCATGTTATTAACAGCGAAACTGTTCTAAATAGAGTGCCATCTGTTTAATCCAGACTGCCTCTGTCTGGTTTCAGCATTGAATGTTTTTCACTGTGAGGTAAAGTCTGCAAGATTCAGAGCAGTCTCTTCTCTGCGGATGCAGTGTCAGGGTGAGAGAAGACACATTTGTTTTTCTGTAGTGTGTGTGGGGTTGAATAGCAGGACAGCTCTTTATTTGTGAGATGCCTAAACCTCCATCTTACAGAGAATGAAATTCTGTCAGATACCTGCAAAGTATCGTTTCTTACTGTGGCTGAAAGTTATTGGGTATGTGTTCAAAGTCAGATGTTGCTGAGGAATGTTGGTATTTTCCTCAAAAAGATTTATTCAGTGGCCCATAGACATGTTAGATGCCCTATACCTTGGTTTTATTTTTTGAAGGAAAAATATAAAGTCCTTGTTTTATGTAGGCCTTTTTTTTTTTTTTTTTGCTTTATTTTGTTTTGTTTTCTTCATGGTGCTTGGAAGCATGACTTGATTGTTTATGAATGAAGCCATACTTTATTGGTATCATTGAGTCTGTCGACATGAATGTTCAGTTCTAATCACAGGATATTGACTTTGTGTGACCTATTGCAGTCGAATAGAGTTGTAGCAGAGGAGTGTACTCTTTTTGTCTTCAAATACAATATCACTTTCAAGGTTTAACAAGGTTTTGGGTAACTGTTTACCTCCATCCAAGTACATGAAAGCTCTTGATGGGAAAATCTGTGTGCAGTTGATAGATTTTCTCTACCATGACGTTGCTTAATGTTTTGCTTCCTAATTTTCCTTTTCTTTCAGCGTGGACCATACTCTTTTAAAAATAAGACTACAAATATGAGGGATATGATGTTTTGGAAATATAGGAAGCTTTTTGAAGCTCTATCTTCACCAAATAAGTGAGTCTGCATAATTTCAAGGGGTCTTACAGTCTTGCTACAACCTGGTTTTGAGAAGTAAACTTCTGTATAATTACAGTGTCAGTCTGAAGAAGTAAATGGTATGCACAAAGAATTAACAAAGAAAAGAAATTTTCTTGTGTAAAAATGCTGGATGTCCTTTATGAAGGGAATGTCATTGGGACTCCATGTACAAATAATCACTACTTTTTGTGGTTTATTTAGTTGCATTTTTTTTGGTACTACTCATGGTGGTGATAATTACTGAAAAGATTAAGTGTTCTAAGATACAGTTATGTTAGCAATTATCCATCCATGCTAGTTACGATTTGCTGGGATTCCTGCATATGTTTCTAGGTTAGAGGAAGGTGGCAGGGTGTCGTGGTTTAATCCCAGCTGGCAACTAAGTACCACACAAGCTCTCACTCACTTCCCCCTGCCACTGGGATGGGGAAGAGAATCGGAAGGGTAAGAGTGAGGAAACTCATGGGTTGAGATAAAGACAGTTTAATAGATAAAGCAAAAGCCATGTGTGGAAGCAAGGCAAAACAAGTAATTCATTTACCACTTCACATTGGTAGGCAGGTTTCTCTTAGTCTATAGACCACCCATATAAAATGCCCATAAAATGTCCATTGGGTTCATTTAGTCCATGACCTTGGGCTCCATCTGTTATGGTGGTCACTCAGGACATAAGAGGTGGTGTGTTGCATGAAGTTATTGGATACCAAAGCCAGGTCAGGTCACTGCTGCGCTTGCACTGCTTCTTGTAAGACTTGTCTTCCACTGGTTCGGGTGGTTCCTGCTACTGTAATTCCTATAACATGCAATTCAAATCCCAGGTTACAGCAGTTTAAAGGTATTTTCATTACATTCTCCACCCCTGGTCCCTTTGGGCCAGCTTACAGGGTTTAACATTGCAATGAACTCCACCCCTTGCTCCTAGCATGGCTAGCAACAAGAGGTTCCTGCTATAGTAATTCCCATAACATGCAACTCAAATCCTGGGCTGCAACAATTTAAAGGTATTTCCATTACAGTCTCCACCTCTGGTCCCTTTTGACCAGACCACTGGGTTTAACACTGAATGAACTCTTCCCCTTGACCCTGCTCCAGCTTGGATTTATCCACAGACTGCAGTCCCTTAGGGGTGTACCTGCTCCAAGTGGAGCCTTATTTATGAGCCACAGTCTCTCTTGGGATATACCTGCTGCAGCATACACTTAGCCACAGTCACTTTGAGATACACTTGTTCCAGACTGGCCTTCTCAATGGGCCACAGTGCCTTCAGAGATATACCTGCTTCAGCGTGGCCTTACCCACAGCCACAGTCCCTTCAGAAGTCAGCCTATTCCAACATGGCCCTACCCATGGCTGCAGTCCCTCCAGGGGTGTACCTGCTCTGTTATGGGCTTATCCATGGCCACACACTCCAGCATGATCTCATGCACAGCCACTGATGCTTCAAGGTGTACCTGCTGCAGCATGGACTTATCCATAGCCACAGATGCTTCAGGGTCTACTTTCAACAGCATGGACTTAGTCTTGGGCCACAATCCTTTTAGAGGTATACCTGCTGTGGCACAGACATAGCCACAGATGCTTTAAGATATACTTCCTCTGGCGTGGACTCATCCATAGTCATGCTTCAGGGTGTCCTGCTCCTGCATGGACTTATCCACAGGTTGCAATCCCTTTGACTTGAGTTTACACTGGAGTTCCAGCCTGTGCAGTGCAGCATCACAGAAGCGGCAGTGATGCCCTGGCCATCTGCCAGCCCAGTCGCATCGCCATTATTGTTATCAAAATGTTCCCAGGCACAGCAGAGTAAGATGATCAGCAGTACAGCGAGCAGCAAAAACAAAAACTAGCCACTAACGAGCACTAGACTCTAATGTGCAGTAAGGCAAGCAAGTCCCATGGTAAGCACAGGAGCCTGCCAATTAATAGCTAAACAACAATAACAGCTATAAAGTCAATCTAGCACATTGCAATCAAATCTGTTGTTATCTTAAACCCTTTGAGCCCCATGCTGGGTGCCAGAAAGGACTGTCATGGTTTAACTTGAGCTGGCAGCTGAGTACCACACAGCCCCTTGCTCAGTCCCCCCGCAGTGGGATGGGGAAGAGAATTGCAAAGGTAAAAGTGAGAAAGATCACAGGTTGAGATAGTTTATTAGGTAAAGGCAAAGCTGCGTGTGCAAGCAAAGCAAGCCAAGGAATTGATTCACCACCTCCTGTGTTCAGCCATCTCCGGGAAAGCAGGGCTCCATCACACGTAATGGTTACTTGGGAAGACAAATGCCATGGCTTGGAATGTTCCCTCCTTCTTCCCTCAGATTTGTTTAATGAGCATGACATCATATGGTATGGGCTATCCCTTTGGTCAGTTGGGGTCAGATGTCCCAGCTGTGTCCCTTCCCAAATCCTAGTGCACCCCCAGCCCACATGCTGGTGGGGTGGGCTGAGAAGCAGAAGAGGCCTTGGCTCTGTGTAAACCCTGCTCAGCCGTAGCTAAAACATCCCTGGGTTTTCAAAGCTGTTTCCAGCACAGATCCAAAACATAGCCCCATACTAGCTACTGTGAAGAAAATTAACTCTATCCTAGCCAAGACCAGCAAACAGACTTTTCTTGAATAGCTTTCAGAAGCCCATGTTTCCAGAAATTTGTGTTCATATGCGTTCTGGATTAACAGATTGTGAGATACATTGTGGGTACTGCTCTTTTCTGCCTGTGCATATAGCATTTTCTCTAGCATTGAACTGTATTTAGTGGTATGCTCTTCATGATTGATTTCTGGAGTAGAGAGCTGTGTGACTGACAGTGACTTAAAGTATTTTCAGTTCTGAG